GAGGCGCCTCTGCCCACACCATCTTTGGTGTCAACAGGCGTCCTACCCAGGCCCTTTGCTGCCAGAGTCACACCGCTTCAGGTTGGACACCATTCCTCCTGGCCGGGGTCCTGCATAGGCTTACAGCAGACACCAGTGCTCAGTGTTGCTGACTCTGGCTTGCATACCTTGGGCAGGGACCCTACAACTCCCAGCATGCGCACGGGGCAGTGACTTCACAGACACACGTTCTCTTTGCCTCTCCCAGCTCATGTGCTCTGCCTGGCTCTAAGGGCTACAAGCACTCTCAGTTTGGGTGGAGCCATGTCTCTCATGGTCTCAGAGACAAATTTTCCTCATGAATTTCTCGGGGAACCCCCTTTTCCTGTGTTTTCCGAGTAGGCAGTCTTCTTGCCAAGTCCTCCTTCCCCTCTCCAGGAGGCTGTGTAAGTATCTGAGAAGCCACTGCGGAGATCAGGGCCCAAAGCATATTTCTGAGCTGGACAACTATTTGTGTGAAGTTGCAGCCGCTGAGATCAGGCCTGGGAAGCCTCTCTGGGGTGGAAAGAATGGAGTGGAAAGCCCAAAAGTGGGGATTGGCAGCGCTCCCAGCCCCACATGGCTTTCCTGTGCAACACCACATGTCCGAGAGGATTCCCAGGCTAACATCCAGGGCCCTCCCTGCCCTCCTGCGGAGCACTCTGGGAACCTGGACAGCCACTTGACTTCTTAAGGGAGCTATTGTACAGTCTGTGTGTGACTGAAGGTGGGGCAGATAGATGAACAGAAAATAGCTAATGGGTGTGGGGTGGGCACAATGGCTCAGTGAGTAAGGTGCCTGATGCCAAGTCTGATGACCTGAATTTGATCCCCCAGACTACATAGTGGAAGGAGAGAACCAACTTCTACATATGCAGCATGCGTGTGTGCACAAGCTCGAATGTGCATACACACACACACACACACACACACACACACACACAGTCTCTCTCTCTCTCTCTCTCTCTCTCTCTCTCTCTCTCTCTCTCTCTCTCTCTCTCTCTCTCTCTCTCTCTCCTGTGTGGAAAAAGGACAAGAGGGGACAGGCGTGTTCCTTTGAGGGATCATCTAGGTGAGACCAAGTTTCACCTTTTATATCATCTAGTGTGTATTTTGTTTCATTTGCTTGAGTCCAGAGAAGGCAATAGGAGCCTTTTAGTGAGCACAGGCTTCCTAGGCTGGGCCATGATAGTGAAGCCACCAGCCCTGAGGGCAGGAAAAAACGTAGGAACCAACCCCTCTAGTCATAGCCCATAGGGGCAGCGCTGGCTTGCTCAGAGGCACAGAGGTGTTTGAGCCAACTCTGTGGCCTACGAAATGAGGTGGCCACCTGCCCATTCGCTGCCAGTGCTGAAACCTGGGCAGTCCCAGCAAACAGGTTAAGTCTGTCACACTAGAATAGAGTCATAGTTGAGCCCTACTGCCCTCATGTCCCAAGACCCTTTGGGTATGGGTTGGCAGCCAGCTGCCTCCTATGGGTGATACAGACCCTGCCATTGCTAACGCAAGGAGCCCATCACCTCTTTCAAGCCTTGGTTGTCTTGCACATCAAATGGGGTTCATAACTGCCCCTCCTGACTTCTGGTATTTGAATGAGAAGCAAAGCATGCCTGGTGAAGTGCCTGTCACACAACAATCGCTCAAATGTTAGTAACTTTGTCCATTACTCATCCTCTCCGTCATTCAGCAGGCTTGAGTGTGTGTGTTTGCACCAGGTGCTGCCTTAGGCCTCCAGAACAGAAACAAACATGTGCTCTTAGGGGGATGGGGACTCAAGCAATAGGTGAATCAGGCCTATTATGGACGAGAAGACTGTGGCGGGAAGCTGGAGAGTGCCCTGGGGAGTGGGGAGTGCCACAGCTGAAGGCTGCTTTAGAAGCCTCACTGGGATGGGCACAGAGACCCGCAGGATGGGAGGGGCAGCTCAGGAGAAGGCTCTGTTGGGGAAAGAGGAAGCAGAAGCATGTGCAGAGACTGAAGCAGGGATGGAGGACATGTTCAGAGAGTAAAGAAAGGGATGCTGAGCCAGAGATGGGAAATAGGAAAAGATAATTGCTGGGGGCTCCTAAGTGCCCTTGGAGGCCATCGGAGGTCTTAGTGCCCCGTTTCACTCCACGGAAAAGATTCATAGGGTTTTGGAAAGGAGAGTGGCATGTGCTGCCTTGCATATTTCAAAAGATATTTGTGGGGCAGACAGAACTGGAGCGCAAGGGTGGAGAAGAGGGGTGGGGGAGACAGACAGAGACAGAGAGCCCGGTGATTGTTAGCTGTTAGTATGACAGCCTGGTAGGATAATGGTCACCTTGCCCCGCACACTGAGAAAGGTTGGTTGCTCAAGTAGACTCACTTTGGAGAGAGTGTTAGTAGGTTTTTTGGGGGTGTCCCTTAAAATGGTCTTTAGTAACTCTTTAGGTTTTATAAAGACAGGGTTCTGTAGACAGGCTGTCCTGGAACTCACTATGTGATCCAGGTTGACCTTGAATTTGTCATCATCCCCCTGTTTAACCCCTTGAGTGCTAAGAATACAGGTTTGAGTCACTACACCAACTCTGATGTTTAACACCTTGGTCACCCTCACAACACCCTAGTGACCCTTACCAAAGGAAGGGAGGGAGGGCACTTTCTCCCAGTGAGTTGTGGATCCCATATCTTTGCAAAACATCCCAAGTTGATTAACAAAACATCTGAACTCCTGTCTCCCTCAAGCCACTCTGTCCATCCAGAGCAGTAGTCGTCAGCTGGCACAGCCCTGCCCTTCCTGGTCCCCTAGGGCAAAGGACCAGCAAGCCTTGCCTCCTGGCCACCCTGCCCCTGCTTGCCTGGGATCCAGATGCCCTGCCCAGAACACTCTTTTCCCAGGCCCTCCCCTGCCGTTCTGACTGGGAACCTGACTTCCCAGGGCAGGGCAGGCTGAGGAGGCTGGGGACATATGAGAAGAAGCTCAGCTTGGCTTCCAGTGCTTCAAACCCAGCGTCGCTCCCCTGTGGAGGCCCACTGGCTGCTCAGCTGCAGTGAGGGACTTAATACTGGATGGCGGGGCCCTGAATTATAGTCTCAGGCACCATGTCCCCAAACAGCCCCCTGCCCCTTGCTTTGGATCAAATGAAAATGGCTTGCCTCCATGCCCTCCGGTCTCTGCACAGAATGACAGGAAATCATGCCATCCTGCCCAACTTTACCTCCAGCCTGTTTCCGAGTCTTCCCTCTGGGAACCCGAGGGCTCTCCACTCCAGCTGTTGTGGAGTTTGTGAGCCTGGGACATGGTAGCCACCTCCCACCCTGCAGGCAGCATTCCCTGTGGGCTTATTTGCCCATTTTCAAGCTCTTTCTCTGTCTTGAGGTCTTCCTAAGGCATAGCCCCCTTCCTTCCTCCCGTCAGTCACACCGCTCTGTGCTGTTGAGTGGGAGGGAAGAATGCTTGTCCTCACACAGGGCCCATCCCTTTCCTCGTCGTTGGAAGGCCTCCATGATGACCGAGTGTGGAGTCCGTGACATCCTGGATTCCATGCTGTCCTTGCTCCTGCCAGGCACACACATTTCCTTGCTTTGTGTGAAGCTCAGTAGAGTATCCTCTGCCCCGATACTGAGTTTCCTCAGCTGGCCTGTTTTCAAGACAAAGATTGCCCCACCCTACCTGTAGAGGAACCCACCAGACAGGCAGCCAACAGCATCCAGTGCCAAACCCAAAGCCAAAAAAAAGTAATTTGCTGCAATATGTAAACAACTTAATGATTGCCAACTGGTGTTTACTGTTGTGTAAGGTTTCCCTCTACCTGGGACCCCTCTAGGGTCCAGAAGAGGGACCAAAATTCTTGGGAACCTACTGAGTATAATTCTGTCTTCCCACCCCCACCCTGGGAGTGGGCAGGTATTACATGGTCTGTTTTAGTGGGGGAAATGCTGGTTGTCAAGAACTGTGTAGTATCTGGAACCTTCATGATCTTGCTTGGTTCTTACTCAGCCTGAGCTGTAATAGTTTATCTAGTTCATACCAAGTACTTAGCGGTAAGTAAAACAGCCAGACTTTAGTTGGAGGTTCTGATAGACAGAAAAGCAGGGGTGATGCACCGAAGGCTACTCTGCCTCGAGGGTTCTACTTCAGTGATCTACAGCTCCTACTACTTGGAATGAAGACACATGGATAGCCCCTGCCTTTGCCTTGCATGACCTGGTTCTTCCTGGCCCTCATGAGTCAGTCAGCGAGTTCAGGTCATGGCCAGAATTTGCATGCTCCTTCGAGAGAAGAGTTCTGTGCATCCCGAGAACATTCCAGTACTTCTGTTCTTAGAGCTAGAGCCTGGGACACAGCCCCTGAGGAAGAGGACTATACTTAGCCTGGTCTCCAGAAACAGAAGGCCCCATCCTGAAGCCATCTTGTCACCCTTTGCCCATTTTTAAACTTTCAAAGGTTCCATAGTCCCAGATTCCTGAGCAAACTAGGGTGGTCGGCCACATTCCCACTGCACCCCCACTCCGGGTCTCATAGCTGGACAAGAGATCTTTTTATTTGTATTTGTTTTTTAGTCCATGTCTTTTATTAACACATGTATGGTCTTCTGATTTGTAAGTCAGACAATGCCTGGCACATAGACGTCTGTCAAAGTGGCTGGCATACAATACCCCTTTGAAGGGCCCTCTTGATCAAGGTGATTCATTTTGCCATTTTCGTCTGCTTCGTAGTATTTCAAGTCAGTCAACTTAACCTTTTTCTCTCTTCTGCTTCTTGAGAGTAGTTTTAGACCCTCCACCACTTCTTAGCACCGAGAAGTCTCAACACAAGATCAAGTGTTGCTCCTTTGGAATGTCTTGCTCAAAGTGTAAACATCTTCCGGTTTGTTTCAGCAAAGATCCACTTTCGCTGGTCAGGACTTCCTTCCTTGTGCTAGATTCTGGCTTTGCATTTTCTGTGGTATAGAAATAGGCCTTTAACTTGGCTTCTGATATCACCCACCACCCCCTCTAATCTCTGTTTTCCTTCTCAGGTCTATCTGGGAACCCTACAGATCTGGAGAAACGTAGACTTGTTTTTGGACAGAACGTGATACCTCCAAAAAAGCCCAAGACTTTCTTAGAATTAGTATGGGAAGCCCTGCAGGATGTCACTCTCATCATCCTGGAGATTGCAGCCATCATCTCCCTGGTCCTGTCCTTCTATCGACCCCCTGGCGGAGACAATGAAAGTGAGTGTCTGACTGAGCTGCTCCACACGGCAGACCTGGGCCCTTTCCATACTTAGTACTAGGGGCTGACAGGTTATAGTACGCAATGTTCCTATTACCCAGCAACCCTAGTTAGTGCTGGAAGTTGACAGGTTGTAGTACACATGTTTCTGTTATCCAGCAACCATACTTAGTACCAGGAGCTGACAGGTGGCAGTATACAATGTTCCCGTTGCCCAGCAGGCTCTGCAAAGGAGAGCAGCCAGCAGCTAGTAAACCATTCTCCTAACCGTTCCCCTTCCCCTACCACACCCTCACTCAGAACACCACCCATCCTGTGTCCTTACATCTGCATCTCAGAGTGTCCTAACCATAGTGCTTGGCATTACGGTAAGTAGCAGTGAGCGCTGACTGCGCTCTGTGTGACTTGCATGGGCATATTTTGTGCTGTTTGGTAATTAACACAAATAGACCTGTGGATGACGAGAGGACAGTCCATCTGCTATCCTCACAGCTGTATTTTCTATTGCTCGCTCTCTCCGTGACCTTTCGTCTTGTGGAGGTTGTGGAGGCTCCACCCTCATCTCAATTGCTCTTTCTCCCCTCCCTGGATAGTGTGTGGTCAGGCTTCAAGTGGCCCAGATGAAGAGGAGGAAGCAGAAACCGGCTGGATTGAGGGGGCAGCCATCCTTACCTCGGTGATCATTGTGGTGTTAGTGACGGCCTTCAATGACTGGAGCAAAGAGAAGCAGTTCCGGGGGCTGCAGAGTCGCATTGAGCTTGAGCAAAAATTCTGCATCATCCGGAATGGGCAGCTCATCCAACTGCCAGTGGCTGAGATTGTGGTGGGAGATATTGCCCAGATCAAATACGGTGAGAGCACCATGTTTCTCTGGCCTGTACTCCCAGCACACATTTGAGGAGGGGGTCCACTGACATGAGGCGCTGGGAGTTTCTGAAACACTCTTCCCAGTAATCCCCAGCTTGTGTTGAGTTATCAGGTAGAATTTAAGGAGATTGTGGGAAGGAATTCTGGAGAAAGCTAAATCTCCCAAGAGACTGTCATACTTGTGCTCTGTATGGCTTAGCAGTAAAGGTACATACTATTTAGGGCACAGGAAAGTGTCCATTTGAGATATGTGTGACCCTAGGGATCAAGCCCAGGACCCTTTGTAGTGTAGGTAGGCCCTTTAACTGAGCCCCACCCCAGCTCTAGATTTACCATAGAGGCTCTTCAGCTTCTCGTGGGACCCATAGGTTTTGCCAGGAGAGCAGTCCTGAGGTACAATGGAAGAGTTGTCTCTTACCCGCTTGGTCTTACTGTTACCCTTCCCCCTTATGCACCAGGTGACCTGCTGCCTGCAGATGGAATCCTAATCCAGGGAAATGACCTGAAGATTGATGAGAGCTCTCTGACAGGAGAATCAGACCATGTCAAGAAGTCTCTGGACAAAGATCCCATGTTGCTCTCAGGTACAGCCTCTGGTTGCCCAGGTTATCATCCCATGGCCTCCAGTAGTCAGGCCATGGGTTCTGGGCTCTATTCCCTTCAGATGGAGTAGAAACATGTGGGTGGTCCTGATGCAGGGATGTCAGTAGCCTGACAGAAGTGTTTCCTACAGTGTTATAGGAGCACTGCTGTTTGGAAGATGGTGTAAAATTAATACATGAACCTTACTTAACCTCTGTTTGCTTGGTCCGTTTTAGAAGGGCTCATCTCTTGGCTTTCTCTCACTGCCTTCTAACTAAATTACTGTCCATAAAGATAAGGAAGCACTGTGCTTTTATGTTTGTATTTCATACCAAATCACAGCTGAGAATATCAAACAGCACTCAACTCCATCTTCTCACTTCCCTTTTGTAGGTACTCACGTGATGGAAGGTTCTGGCCGGATGGTAGTGACTGCTGTGGGAATCAACTCCCAGACTGGAATCATCTTCACCCTCTTAGGGGCTAGTGAGGAAGATGAGGAGGAAAATAAGAAGAAAGGTAAGGGGCATGCCAAACGAGAGTGAAATTCTCTTTCATCTCTGCAAATGAACTAGATGTCAGAGAGCAGACCCAGACGGGAACCTATTAGAAAAGTCTGCTGGGACGAAGTGACAGATACCCAAGCTCCTTGCCAAGATGAGGTGCCACTTGTGGGGCTGGGGAGATGGCTCAGTGGTTTAAGAGCACTGGCTGTTCTTTTGTTTGTTTGTTTTTTGAGACAGGGTTTCTCTGTGTAACAGCTCTGGCTGTTCTGGAACTTTACTTTGTAGACCAGGCTGGCCTCAAACTCACAGACATCCACTGCCTCTGCCTCCCCAGTGCTGGGATTAAAGGCATGGGCCACTACCCAGCTGCTCTTGCTATTTTTGCAAAGGACCTGGGTTTGATTTTCAGTGCTCATGTGGCTGCTAATAACCATCTACAGCTCCATTTCCAGGGGATCCCATGCCCTCTTCTGGCCTGTGTGGACACCAGGCACACACAGGGTATATAGACCTATATACAACCAGACAGCATACACATGGTATATAGACAGACAGACAGACAGGCACGCGCGCACGCGCGCGCGCACACACACACACACACACACACACACACACACGCATCAACCTTGTCTCTGAGGAGCACTGACGAAACCCACCGAATCCTGACTCAAAGCCTTCATGTCAGATTGCATTTGAACCTTAATTCCTGTATCTTTAGTGGATTATGACGGGCTGAGTTAGCCCTACTCTGGATGAGCTGGAAGGGCCCCGCAACCTCCTCCTCTCCCCTTCCTGTCTTCCTCGTGGATTAAGGAATAAATGAACCATCGCACCTAAGAGGGAGGTGACTTGGAGAAAACGTGGGTCCCTCGGAAACTGCGGGCTGTCTGCGGACGAGAAGCACAGCTTGGAGAGTGGGACCAGAGAGGCAGTTAGACTAGTCTTGGTCACTCTTGTTCCTGGAGCAGGAATCGTAGGAGAAAGAGACCCAGATGTCAGAGCCAAGCTCACACCCTTTTCTGAGCATTCCTTCTTCCTGTGGGGAGAGAACAGTTTTTACCACTTGGCCAAGGATCATCTCAGGTTCTTAGCAGAGAGCAGTGTATGAATAAGAAACAAATATCCATTTCCACAGCTGCCCTCTGATGAACACTTAGGAAGCTTGCCTGGTGCTATTGAGTTGACCCCGAGATGCCTTTCAGGGCCTGTCCACAGGCAGAAACATTTCCTGCCTCTCTCTCCCTAACTCCCACCCCCATTTTCTCGAGAGATTCGCCTCAAGCCCAGAGCATCCTCCCTCCTAGCAGCAAGAGCAGCTCAGCCGTGGCCTTGTGCGCGCATGTCTGAGCACTCAGCTGCGATCCCGAGGAAGGACGGATGAACAGAGACATGAGCCACCTTTACACGTATCTCCCTGCCCTACAGCTCACCTCCTTCGCTGCAGCCCTCCTGTGCTGTGAGAGGACCAACAAGATGGTATCTGGTCATCTCTTACTAGTCACTTTGGGTCTCCACCCCACTTTTCTCTTTCTTGTTCAAACAGGTAAAAAACAAGGAGTCTCTGAAAATCGCAACAAAGGTAACCTCTCCACCCACTCATGTGCCATCTCTACCTGCCCACGCTCAAATCAGACCTTTCCAGGCCATCTGTCTCCCTGTCCTCTCCATAATGTTACCTGCTGCTGTGGCCCAGTGCCTCATCCTGAGGACGGTGCAGAGATCCGGGGGTGGGCTCAAGGCAGAACAGCAGCACCCTCTGCTGTTGACTTGAGGAAGCACATGTCCAGAATTCTTTGGGTGTGGGACACAGATCTGCTTTTCCCAGAGCACTGAGCTCTGCTTCACTGTCCACACCGGCAGGCAGTTTCTGGGTTGGAAGTCATGGTGGAGGACATTGGCTGGGCCGTCCCTGCACCCTCCTCTGCTAGCTGCCTCCTCGGTGTCTTCTGGTCTGTTATTTCTTCTCTGCTCATCTGCTCAGAGGCCTTGGAGAGAGACTTTTCTCTCTGCCTCTCTGCCCACATCTTTCTTTGTTCTCGCCACAGTTGTGTTGTTCCTCCTGATACGGTTTGTGTTTCTCTTGGTGGCTGTGTCTACATCCCATCTCTGTCTTGTTTGTGCATCAGACAGGAGAGACTGTATCTCGAGAGAGACTTCCTAAGCAAACAGTGACGTTGGAGGGATGTTGAGGAGCAACAAGAAGTAGTCCTGAGACAGTTCCTAAAATTGTTCTTTTTCCTTGTTACACACATCATAGTACTCTTTAGAAATAAAATCACCCTATCAGAGCACCAGAGCTTAAGCAGAAAGAGCTGGAATTTCAGGTCTCTTTGTTCTTCTTCTAAGGGGGAAATAAATGGGTTCTGCTTTCTCCTTACTCTCTTTATGGTAGCTTCTTTTCTCTCCCCTAGAATATTCAACTCAGGTCCTGCTGTGTACCTACTTCGTTCCCTTATCCTTCGACCTATATAATAAGTAGTTGAAGAATAACTTGGGGAGAGGGTCTGTATTTCTTCCCTGATTGGGGGAAAGACGGCTTTAACAGAATAGGCTAGGACCCTTATGTTCTAGAAACATCTGCTAGACTCCCCCTTTGGTCCCTTTCTACAGTAAACATTCACTGTTTTAAGCTCCGGATTCCAGAAGGATGCTTGTGGTGATAGCCTTAGTGGTGTGATTAATCCCCTTGTTGCTGTTAACCTGGCATGTGGCTCTGGGAGATGCCAGGAAGTTGTCATGAAGAGGAAATGCAAGCCAAAAAGGCGTCCTCCACTTCATCTCCAGTTGCTAGATTTGTCCCAAAGACTCTAGTGGAGTCCTGCGTCTGGCACGAGTGAGAGGTGGTCAGAACTGAGCTCAGGGGCCTAAGCAACATTCCAGGAAGAAGACAGAAGGGCATCTCGCCTTCCGCCGCCCGGCATTCGCTGCTACATCCTTGCCTGTTCACCTGTCCCCTTTGTGTGTCTACCCTAGCAAAGACCCAAGATGGAGTGGCCTTGGAAATCCAGCCACTCAACAGCCAGGAGGGCATCGACATTGAGGAAAGGGAGAAGAAAGTAAACAAGATGCCTAAGAAGGAGAAGTCGGTGCTGCAGGGCAAGCTCACACGGCTGGCTGTGCAGATCGGGAAGGCGGGTGAGTAGCTAAGCCTGCCTCCCATTTCAGATTCAAAGTGCTGCCCTGTGTGCCGACTACTACAGTCCCCTTCCTGCCACACCAAGCAGGACTGACAGAAAGAAGCTGGAACTTCAGACTGGCTCCTGGAGTCTAGATAGCTGTTTCTTTGCCACTCCTTGGGCTTTGGAAGAGAAATACTTCTTCCTGTGTATGAAGGTTAATAGCCCCAAGGTCTCTTTTATCCAAACAGCAGGGGAGGGTCATGCTAGCCAGAAGGAAATTAAGAACTCTCACCTGCCATGTTATCCCTCAAGGACATTGGAGGCTGCAGCTTGCTGTAGGGAGTTCCCCCCATGGTGGTAGACTCTTGTGGCCCAGCATGGAGCAATAAATCTGCTGTAAAGACTGGAGGACAAGGAAGACCCGGTTAGAGACTCTATTCAGAAGGGAGCTAGGGTGACAAGTGGTTTCTCCCTACACTTTCCTGCCATCTTCTACTGGCTGAGGGGAGCAGCAGGAAGGGGGACAAAAGGATAACTCCTTTGCTCTCTGAAAGTCCCAGAAATTGTTGAGTCTCAGGCAATCCAAACTGGCCACCCTACCTGTATCAGAAGCTTCGCTGACCCCTGGTTTTCCCTCCTTTGGAACAGGAGTGATAATAGTAACCTATGTCCTAGGGCTGTTGTAAAGTGGTTATGAAGGCTTGACTGGCCTGTGGCAGGCACTATGTAAGTCATTGCTGTCCTTGTCGTCTTCATGGTGTGCTACAATAGGAGAAATCATGCCAGCACTGTGGGGACATCCTGTAACCAGGGTATGGGGAATTCACAGAGCAGTGGAGGGAACGTCAAAGTTGGTAAACTCCTAAGTGGACAGATGCCCTTGCTACTAGGTAAACTATGACATGTAATCATGAATGCCTTGTTAATACAACAGAAGTTCCAATAAAGCAGTGGCAGCAGTCCACACATGGAGCTGGTCCCCCAACCCTCTTAGAAGTTGCAGTTTATTAGGAGAAAGGGCCTCAAGGAAGCCCGTATTCTAACATACTTCCCTTTATGGATTGGTTTGGTTTGGTTTTTTGTAGATCAGACTGGCCTGACCTCATGATCTTCCTACCTCGACCTCTCAAGTGCTAAAAGTACAGGTGTGTGCCACCATACCCAGCTACCCTCGTATTTATAAATGAAGTAAAGTAGAAGTTCAACCCATAGAGACTTAACAACTAATTCAAGGGTTTGAGGGTTGGCGGCATGCCGAGAACATCTATAACCTTGGAACCACTGTTTTTAGAGCCTTTGTTTTGTTAAAACACACACATACACACACACACCACCACCACCACCACAACAACAACAACAAAAACCACAACCTCTGTCATTGTGTACAAGCAACAGAGAATGGAGGAAAGGTTTTAATACAACTTTCTAAAGCTTATAGTTTTAAAAACTCTAGAAAGCACCAGCCGCAGCACTCAGGAAAGTGGCCCTCCACCCTGCCTAGACAACACAGCACAGCTGGCCCCAAAGGTGTAGGTGAGGGAGAGCTGACCCTGAGGTGTGAAAGAGGGAGAACTGGCCCCGCCCCTTACTCATGCTCAAGGGGTGAAGTAGCCAGAGCAATGCAGGAGGGCTCACCCTGATGGGGAGGACAAGGGAGAGCTGGCAGGCTGACCAACCCTGCAACTACCAGAGCCAGGGTTATGTGTTGGCCCAACCCAGCATCCATCCCTTCTGTGACCTACTGGAGCACAGGTGAGGGAGGGGGTTGGTCCTTGGACCCAGGGCTGCAGGATCTCCACGACACAAGCCAGCAACAGTAAGTATATCCAGGAAGAGTCCCAGTGAGGACCCAGTGTTGATGGTGTAGCAAGGACCTCAAATCAGACCAATGATTCTTTTCATTGAACTCCTACACGTAAAAATATATGGATAAAGGGGTTTACCGTGTGACTCGCTGTGTCATACTGCAGCTTCCATGATTTTTCCCTTTCTCCCTTTTTTTTTTTCTTCTTAAATTTTATTTGGAGAATGGGCGGGGAATGGGTGGGATCAGGAGGCATGATGTGAAAGACATAAAAAAGGAAATAAAGGAAAGTTAGAAAAAAAACTACAGAAAGGGAATAGCAAGCTAACCCCTGTGCATGTGCCTTGCTGCCCTGGACAGGTCTGATCATGTCTGCCCTCACAGTGGTCATCTTGATTCTCTACTTTGTGATTGACAATTTCGTGATACAAGGCAGAGCATGGCTACCTGAGTGCACTCCCGTCTACATCCAGTATTTTGTCAAGTTCTTCATCATCGGCGTCACTGTATTGGTAGTGGCTGTGCCAGAGGGGCTGCCACTGGCTGTCACCATCTCGCTGGCCTACTCTGTGAAGGTAAGATTGGAAAAATACTGTGTGTTACTTAAGGACAGAGATGCAAAGGGAGGGTTCCATAAGCTCTTCTGTCCTTTATACCTTTAGGTGGCTCCCCAAGAGCACTGGTCCCCCGCTCTAGGAAATGACCACTCAGTTGTTTAAATAGATCAGTAGAATCGTAAAGCCTACAAAAACAGTACCCTGTATTTTTGTGTAGACTAGAAAACAAAGTGAGAAATGTTGGCTAGGACTTAGCCTCTGATCTATGTTTTGGGAGCTCTGTTGGTTCTCTTTCAACTCCTTTCTCTTTTCTTTTGTAGAAAATGATGAAGGACAACAACTTGGTACGGCACTTGGACGCTTGTGAGACAATGGGCAACGCCACAGCCATTTGCTCTGATAAGACAGGAACACTGACTATGAACCGCATGACAGTGGTACAAGCTTATGTTGGGAACACTCATTACCGCCAGATCCCAAGCCCTGATGTCTTCCCGCCCAAGGTTCTGGACCTCATAGTCAATGGCATTTCTATTAACAGTGCTTATACTTCTAAGATTCTGGTAAGCTTTCCCATTGCCTGGGGACCTGGAATAGGTGACTGGGAGCAATATTCATTTTGCCAGAGATAACTCTCTGTCCTGGTTACTTTTCTATGCCTGTGCTAAACTCCATGACCAAGGCAACTTATAGAAGAATTTATTGGGGGCTTATAGTTTCAAAGGGTTAGAGCCCATGACTGTCATGGCAGGGAACATGGTGGCAGGCAGGCATAGTGTGGGAGCAGTAGCTGAGAGCCCACATCTCCGTCCACAAGCAGGAGGCAGGGAGCACACTGGGGATGACATCAGGTTTTGAAACCCCCTAATGACACACCGCCTCCAATAAGGCCTCACCTCCTAATGCTTTCCAAGCAGTTCTGCCAACCGGGAACCCAGTATTCAAATCTATGAGTCTCTGGGGGCCAATGTCACTCAAACCACCACATCCTCCATTATCACCCCATCTAAATTGCCATTCCACATTCTGTGCTCAGGATGAACCTATGGCAGTGACTCTGAGAAGGAACCTCATGCCTGCAGCAGACTTACAAGTATCCAGAATTTATTACTCACTTTCCAGAAACAGAGAGCATTTGATTAAGACTTCCAGAGGACTGGGTGGTGATGGCACACATCTTTATTCCTAGCACTCAGGAGGCAGAGGCAGGAAGATCTCTGAGTTTGAGGCCAGCCTGGTCTACAATGCCACTTCCAGGACAGTCAGAACTGTTGCACAAAAAAAGTGGGGGAGAAAGGGGCTGGAGAGATGGCTTAGTGGTTAAGAGCACTGGCTGCTCTTCCAGAAGTCCTGAGTTTGGTTCCCAGAAACCACATAGTGGCTCACAACTATCCATAATGAGATCTGGCACCTTCTTCTGGCCTGCAGGCAGAACACTGTATTCATGATAGATAGATAGATAGATAGATAGATAGATAGATAGATAGATAGATAGATAGACAGACAGACAGACATTTAAAAACTCCCAGAGGATGAGACAACTCATTACCATAAATCAACTATAAGATCCCAAGACCCAGAAGGCCATCAGTCAAGGTCACAAAAGCAAATGCTATGGCCCTGTGGGCACTGAGTTGCCTACCAAATTTGCCTGCCCAACTTCTCTCTCTGGTTCATATATCTCACTCATTAGTTCCATGTCTGCTTTTGTTTCTGCTTTTCTTTTCTCTCTCAGCCTTCAGAAAAAGAGGGAGGCCTACCCCGGCAGGTAGGCAACAAGACAGAGTGTGCCCTGCTGGGCTTTGTCACAGATCTGAAGCAGGATTACCAAGCAGTTCGAAACGAAATGCCTGAGGAGAAGCTCTTCAAAGTGTACACCTTCAACTCAGTGCGCAAGTCCATGAGCACCATCATCAGGAAGCCGGAAGGGGGCTTCCGCATGTTCAGCAAAGGCGCCTCTGAGATAATGCTGCGCAAGTGAGCCCCCTTCCTCCCATTTCCCCCTTTGAGATCCCCCCTCAGGAAGGTCTGAGGGCCCATGCCGAACCAGTCTGAAGGACGAGTGACCCTCCAGCCAGGTAGTGACACTTGAGCTTTTACTAAGGACAGGCATTGCTTTTAAGAACCTTGCTGGTTCCTTTTATTTAATCCTTGAAACTCGGCAAGGTGGGTACTCTTTTGACCCATTTTGCAGATGAGAAAATCTGTGCAGTGAATTTGTGTAACTTGCTTATAGAGAGAGTAGTTAACTGCCACAGCCAGGATTCAGTCTGGAGCAGCCCAGACTTCCCAGAAAGCTCCCCATCTGACTGTGCTAGAGGGAGTCGGTGAGCATAAGATGCCTTGCACATACCAAGAGCTAACCATGCTGCTCCTCTGTTCCCTCTCTTTCTTTCTCATTCTCAATGCTGATTACACTTTAAATACCTTCAAAAGCAGCTAAGCTACCTATAGGTTGTTACAGTCAACCCAACAAGTACTTTGCCAGCAGGGCACTTGGCAGGCTAAGACAGGAGGGTTACAAGTTCAGGATCATTCTAGGGTACTTTGTCTCAAAAAACAAAACAATAGCAACAACCAAAAGAAGCTGGGCATAGTTTTACCTTCCTTTAATCCCAACACTCAGGAGGCAGAGACAGGAGAATCTCTGTGAGTTTGAGGTCAGCCTGTTCTGCATAGCAAGTTTCAGTAAAGCCAGGATGAGAGATTTGTCCAGAAGCTCAAGGTCAACCTATAAAGCAAGTTTGAGGCTACATGTAGCTTGAGCTACATGAGACTCTTATCTCGTGTAGGAGGTAGAAGGGTGGGGGAGAGGGAAAGACTCAGCTAGGAAACACATAAAAGACGTATTAAGCATGGACTAGTGTCTGTAGGAATAATACAGGATCTCCATAATGCCTGTGATTATTAGAACGTGTTATGTGGGATGGCAGACACTGATTTCTGACTATGCATCTGCCCAGGTGTAATCGAATCCTGAACAAGGAAGGAGAAACCATACCGTTCAAAAGTAAGGACCGAGATGACATGGTACATAATGTCATTGAGCCCATGGCCAATGAAGGACTCCGGACTATCTGCATAGCTTACCGGGATTTTGATGACACAGAGCCCATGTGGGACAATGAGAATGAAATACTCACTGAGCTGACCTGCATTGCCGTGGTGGGCATTGAGGACCCTGTGCGCCCAGAGGTGAGGCTTGTCAGCTTCAAAACTGAAGAGAAGGGGCAAGGACGCAGGGCACTGGTCTCCCATTGGCCACTGGGTAGGGTACATATCCTGTGTAACCTATGGAGCCAACTGGGAGTCACAGAGAGCCAGTGCAAGTTTCTGGCCTGGCTGTGACCCTAACGTGTTGCCTAACTGCGTGTCACAAAGACAAACGACTCTCCAAGACATGCTTCCCACCTCAGCTGTGGAGAGCCAGGTAGGGAGAAGGCAGCATCCCTAGGGTTCATGCTATCTGAGGGACAGGCAGTGATGATTTCATGGATTTGTTACTTGGTGCTTGGGAGTGGTCAGGAGCAGAATTAACCAGAAGGCAGCTTACTCTTTAGCCACCTTCTTTCAATGGCATACTCTTTTCCAACAATCTCAGTGTGCCGAACGCTGTTCCAGGCACGAGGAGATTCAAAAAACTGAAAGACTCAGATACACAGACCAGTGCTTGTCAAGGCCAAGATGGGGAGAGTATCCAGCCACTACAGTGAGCTCGTGGGTTGGACCCTGGACGGGGTGGCCACATCACCAGATGCTGCCTAAGCTTCCGCAGGGAACCTGGAGGAAAGGAAGACACAAGCATTCCCCTTCAACCTGTGAGATCATGAGTGAAGGGCACTGAGTGCTATATAAAAATGACCAGACATAGCCTCGGTCCTATTTTTACGTAAGGGAGCTGAACCAGGGCAGTCTGCCGTGTATCATCAATCTCATGACTTGGCTTCTTTCTCCACTCTCCTCAGGTACCCGATGCAATTAACAAATGCAAACGGGCTGGCATTACTGTCAGAATGGTGACAGGTGATAATGTCAACACAGCACGGGCCATTGCCACCAAATGTGGCATTCTGACCCCTGGAGATGACTTCTTGTGCTTAGAAGGAAAAGAGTTCAACAGGCTTATCCGCAATGAGAAGGGTGAGGTACGTCCACAGAGGAAGCAGCCAGGGGACCACTTACAAGGGAACGGCTGGTTCTCGTGTGCAGTAGTAGGGCTCGTGGGAGCAAGTGGGGGGCTTCTAAACTGGAGTCTGTTCGTAGTGAAACAGCCCTTCCCACCACAGCTGCTCTCGTGGTGAATGAGGAGCTGTCTCATCTTCATTCAATTACCTGTGGGTTCAGAATCACTAACTTCACTATCCTTCTGCTTTTAAACTCATGGAATGGTTTTTGTGCTGCTCCCCCCCATCCTACCCTTCCAGTATCACTGCCCTGTGGCTGTGGGTGTCACAGGCTGGTTGCAATCTGAATAAGGGGCAGACTAAAGCTTCTAAGTCTACGTGGAAATCAGACCTAAGACCCCAGAAGCTCCTTGGAAGCCCCTGAGCCAGCTGTTAACCCTGACCTCCCCCTATATTGGGTTAAGAAATAAGGACTGGCTCCCAGATAGGAAGTTGTGATGGAAAAGAAAAAAGGGTCTGCATGGTCACCATCAGTGAAGCCATATTGTCTATTCCATCTCCCCAGAGGCCGGGGGCTAAGGGTTCCTCTGGGGCTGTGAAGTTCTAGCACTCTTGGAAACGAGTAAGATTTCACCAAACAGTGGCCCTGAGTTTGACTGATTTGGGTGCCTCTGGTATTGGCAGGTTGAACAAGAAAAGCTGGACAAGATCTGGCCCAAGCTTCGGGTGCTGGCACGATCTTCTCCCACGGACAAGCACACACTGGTGAAAGGTGAGGCCAGCCTGTGAGTATGTGCCTGCCATGGATGAGGGCAGGCCAGGGTAAAGACAGATAAGGAGCCATCCTTGGCCACTGAGTATATGGCCAGTAGCAGAAAGCTTGCTTAGTGTGCTCAAGGCCCTGAGTTCAATTCCCAACACTGCTCCTATCCCCCTAAAAAAAGAACAGAAAAAGCATACCCATTGCAAAGTTAGGCATGGAGACATACACTTGTAATCCTAGATTTTAGGAGGTGAAGACAGAAGGATCCAAAGTTCAAGGTCATCTTTGGCTGCATAGTGAGTTTGAGGCCAGCCTGAGCTGTGTAGGACCTTGTCTCAAACAAAAAGAGACATTAGCCTAACTACTCTCCTGTCCCCAGCAAGGAAGTCCTGGGAGAGATCCCAGGCCGATGGGAAGGACACTGAATTTAGCAAACATCGAACCCCTGGCAAGTGTGTGATATAATAGAGTTGAGATTTTTGGTTTGGGGTTTATTAGAGTTTGGGGGGATTCTTTGTTGTTTCTGAAACAAAATGCCTCTTTGTATATATACATTTATATGGGTTTTTGTTGTTGTTGTTCTAAAGACAGAGTTTCTCTGCGTAGCCACTGGAACTCACTTGGTAGACCAGGCTGACCTTGAATTCAGAGATCCACCTGCTTCTGCCTCCCAAGTGCTGGAACTAAAGGCATGTATCACCATGCCTGGCTTTGGAATGGTTCACTTTTTTCTTTCTTTTTTTTTTTTTTTGGAATACTTGACTTTTAAAGGAACTTGCCAAGAGGCTCTGATACTCATGGCCTCACATGTGAAGAGCACAGCACTGAGCACACTCTGTTTCCTGTGATTCACACAGGCAAACAGCACGACCACAGAGCTCTTTTCTTCTCTGGGTGAGGTACTTTGTGATTTCCCCAACAGCCACCATATGGGGATGGGTGGGGGTAGTTCTTGAGACAGGTTTTCATGTAACCCAGATTGGCCTCAAATTCCTCCTAGAGCTGAAGATGACCTTGAACTGACTCCTATTCCTCCTGTCTTTGCTTCCCAAGTACTGGGGTGAAGGGGTAGGCTATCACAGCTGTCTAGAGCTGGGGTGGGGATGTTAGTCCCTAGCTAGGCTGCAGTGGTACACTTGAACCCAGATGTCTGCCTTCAAAGCCACTGTGTGCTTTCCCAGCTACCTAGTGGCTGTGTAAGGAAGACACTGGATGAAGGCTGCCTTCTCAGGTCAGAGTGACCTTGGTGAATCATTGCCCTCGGATGGTTGCTGTAGATCCCACAGTAGCGAGGAAAAAGGAAGGAGAACGAACAGAGACAGAATGGAGGAGATGGGGGAGGGGACTAAAAGTGTCCCTTTCATAGGAAACAGTACTTGCCACATGACCTCTGTCTTAGGGTTTTTAGTGCTGTGAAGGATACCATGGCCACGTCAACTCTTACAAAGGAAAACATTTAATTATGGTGGCTTACAGTTCAGAGGTTCAGTCCATTATCTCTATAGTGGGACATGGTGGCAGGCAGGCAGAGTGGTGTTGGAGAGGCAGCTGAGAGTCCTACATCTTGCAGGGAACTGGAAGTGGTCTCTATGCTGGGAGCAGCTTGAGCATAGGAGACCTCAAAGCCCTCCCCCACAATGACACACTTCCTCCAACAAGGCCAAACCTCCTCCTAGTGCCACTACCTTTGGGGGCCATTTTCTTTAAACCACCACAATCTCAGATGGCGTCTGTGTATTCACTGTTGTGTGTGTCTTTTTCCCAGGTATCATTGACAGCACTGTTGGGGAACAGCGGCAGGTGGTGGCTGTCACCGGCGATGGGACAAATGATGGACCTGCTCTGAAGAAAGCAGATGTTGGTTTTGCCATGGTAAGCTCCCCAGGGTCTCCCCATGGGTCACCTTTTCCATCAGGAGCCAGAACAGGCTTCAGTCTCTGTGCCTTCTCATCCCTCCGGCACTCCTGGTCCCACCGCCATCTCTCCCACCGGCCTGGTCATTACTGTGTGTGAAAAGCAATGGTGTCTGTCGGGGAAATCACAAAGCACCTCATCCAGAAAAACAAGAGTGCTGTGGTCATGCTGTTTGCCTGTGTGAATCACAGGAAACTCGGCTTCCACATAGAGCGTGGCCGTTACCATGCTCTTCACATGTGAGGCCATGAGTATCAGAACCCGTGGCAAACTCAAATATCCCATCTTGCTTCAGTAAGGTTGGGTGGGTGCTCAAGTGTGTGGGGGTTGGGTTTGGTTTGAGGTTTTTGGTGGTGGTGATAGAGTTGGGATCTAGACAGGAAGATGTGTGGTGTGTGTGTGTGCGTGTGTGTGTGTGTCATATTAGCCAGATTTGGAGATGCACACCTATAATCTCAACATTTGGGGCATTGACCTCAGGCTCAAGACCAGTCTGGTCTATATAGGCAGTTCCAGACCAGCTTGTATACATAGTAAGGCTCTGTCCCAAAAAGAAAGAAAATAGCAGCCTATCTTTGTGGAGCTCCTTTTTTGTAATTTCGTGCATGTGTGTGTGTGTCTGTGTGTGAGCATATGCGCAAGTATGTTGATGCCCATGAAGGCCAGAGACAGTTGTGAGCCACCCAACATGGGTGCTGGAACTCAAACTCTAGTCCTCTCGAAGGGCAGTGTGTGCTTTTAACCACCGAGCCATTTCTCTAGTCCCTAGGGGGCTCTAAAAAAAAGTTTTAATTCTAAGAAGCTTTAAAAGCATGCCTAGGAAGTTAGCATCATATAATGGATCCCCATAGGCCTGTCACTCTACTTCAATAATTATCAGCCTGGCCCATCTTGCTTCATAAGCCATCTACATCTTCCTCTATCCAGCCAAATTATTTTATAGTCAGTCTAAGACATTTTATCATTTATATTCATCAAATTTTGAATATATATCTAAACAATACATATCAATAAAATAGACATAAATAATTATAATAGAATTTCTCACTTTTAAAACCTGAAGTTCCTTCCTATTCCCAAATTCTAGTCAGTGTTTAAAACTCCCTCACTGACTCATAAATGGTTTTATGGCTTATCTGTTGAAGCCAGAATCCAAACAGGATCCGCACATCATGGCTGTCTGAGGCATCCGTGGAGGCTCTGAATCCACAGCAGTGGCTCTTAAAGTGGGTACTATCTGGACCCAGAGAGGCAGTTCAGTGGCCAAGAGCACGGTCTGCTCTAACAGGATGAAGGTTCAATTCCCAGTACCCACAAAGCAATTCACAACCATCTGTTACTCCAGTCCCAGGGGATCTGACTCCCTCTCTGGCAGGCAAAACAACCATACACATAAAATGAATTTAAAAAAAAACTGTATCCACCCAATTTCCAATGCACCAGCAGTTACCTGGAAACCTATGGAAATGCAAACTCTCAGAAACCATTGGAGCCTACTGAACCACATGGTCTGGAGTTGGGGGTTCTAATATGCCCTAATGTTTGAGAACCACTGATTTTATAGCCTGTGTCCTAATGGCTACCCTTACAGTCGCAAATTTATTAGGACTCATGGAACCTGACCCATGTACTCTGTGTGCACATGGCTAGTATTTGTTACAGATAGAAGCTGAGGATACAGTTAGATCACAAGAGAAAGATGCTGCAGAATCCAGAGGAATCCACATGCAGCCTTCTTGTGCTCTCCCTGCCAAAAGGGGAGTCCTTTCTTCCATTTTTGTAACACTTTGGCAGCGTATATGATGCCTCCAACAGGGAGACCCATCACACTCAGCTCCCACAGCTTTTATTAATATTGGCCTTCTGGGTACTTCCTAACACAAATCAAAATCCCAGACTCGTAAAGGGAAGTGGAAGCCAGATTATTTCAGCAGTCTGCCAGGTGTGTCCAACCTGCAGTCAGTGGCTACATGCAGCCGAGGATAGCTATGAATGAGGCCCAGCAGAAAACTGTAAAACATGCCCACATCCATGTTTGGGGCGCTGGGTGGGGGCGGTGATGGTCGTCGTTTGTTGTTGTAACTCCATCGCACCCTTTTTAAGTGTAAACTTCATAGATGACAGTGTTGTCACATGTCAAAAGGTTGGACACACCCACCGTGTGTGAGTGAGCTGCCTTGTCTCAGTTAAGTGCTGACCAGGGTGTTCTGAGAGCCAAGTTCCCAGGAGCCAGCCTTGCAAGTGAGCCTTTCTAAGGATGGTGGTCTGAGGGCCACCGTGCTGAGGTTCCGCCCAGTCCTTTTCCACCTTTGCCCTAGCTGTTTTATGTTGACGGAATTGGGTTTATTGTTTGCACAGGCAGTTCCAGTAGCGAATGTGCTCACTGCATTTCTGTAGTTTCCTGCAACAGTGTTATTGTTGGTCCCTTGCATTTGGTTTGAGTGGGGTTTTGTGTTTTTGTTTTTGTCTGCATCACCCCCACCTGTGTCTGTGTGTGTGTGTGTCTGTGTGTGTGTGTCTGTGTGTGTGTGTCTGTGTCTGTGTGTGTGTGTCTGTGTCTGTGTGTGTCTGTGTCTGTGTGTGTGTCTGTGTGTGTCTGTGTCTGTGTGTGTGTGTCTGTGTCTGTGTGTGTGTGTGTGTGTGTGTGTGTGTACCCACCAGGGTATGAGTGTGGAGGTCAGAGAACAATTTTTGAAAGTGGGAAAGTGGGTTGTCTTCCACTATGGGACCCTAGGATCAAACTCAAGTCATCAGATCTGCATGACAAGTGCTTCTTGTGAGATGGGGTCCTACTATGTACCCCGATTGACCTGGAACTGGCTACATAGAACTGCCTCTGTCTCAGGTTCTGGGGTAAGGTGTCCTGCCCCGCCACATCTGGTTTAGTTTTTAGCTTTCTGTTTGTTTTTGTTTTGTTTTTCTGCCTCATTTGGGTTTTGAGATATGCACTGGCCTTCCCCTCAGTCTGTAGCCCAGGCTATCCTCATGCTTGAAGCAGCCCTCCTGCCTCAACCTCCTGAGGGCTGGAGTCACAAGTATACACCACTATGCCTGCTTTGTCCCTTGTATTTTCTATACATTAGTTCTAGAAGCAACCAGATCGTATGTCTCCTTGGGGATTGTGAAATGACAGTATGCTGAATTTTTTTATTATTAACTTGGATTGTTGCACAAAAGGAGATTTCCCCTCACCTCTGTTTGTACTCAGTGACGCAGTCCCCACATGAAAAGCAGGTTAAATGCTTGATTCTTTTCCTTTCCTGCCCAGTGACTTACTTTATTTTTTTTAAGTAGTGTTACAAACACAAGATTTGCCTCCCCTCCCCCATACTGGGATTAAACCTATGGCCTCAAGCATATCAGACAAATGCTCTACCACTGAGGTACACCTCAGCCCAAACAAGGGAATTTGAGATAGATATAGATAGATAGATAGATAGATAGATAGATAGATAGATAGATAGATATGATGTGTTTCAATGCATTGCTCTTGCTTTTGTCTTGAAGCTCAAATGGATTCATCACTAGCCAGGAGAAGTCTCTTCTTCAGTGTCTCTGGGTCCTTTTAATGTAGCCAACCCTAGGTGTCTTTTATTGCTTTCTTGGTTTCTTGCCCAGTAAGACACTGCAGAGAGATTGGGAGTTCTCATTTATTAGTTTTGTTTCTTTGGTGGGTGTGGCGGGAGTGGGGGGATGAGTGGCGTGTTACATTCTGTTTTTCAAGACAGGGTTTCTCTGTAGCTTTGGAGCCTGTCTGGAACTCACTCCGAAGGCCAGGCTGGTCTCAGACTCACAGAGATCCACCTGCCTCTGCCTCCCGAGCACTGGCATTACAGGCGTGCGCCACCACTGCCCATCTGAACCTATTCTTAGGTCTGGCATCGTGCATGCCTTCAGTGTGCTCTGCTGCATTTTGGTGACAGGCTGTATTAGGGAGCACGAGTGGTTCATGAGGGGCATATTCCCTCTGAGCACACACTGTTTCTGTAGCCAAGCTAACATGTGAGCTTCACAGCCTAGATTTGTTTCTATACCTGCTTCTAAGATTAAATACTTCCTAAATTCGTGTTCATGTTTCTCACTCAAATTTAAAATGCTAACCTCCTGTTTATTTCTTATTCTCTACTTTGTTCCTAGCTTCCCTAATTTAATATTTGTAGTTCTTAAGATAAAAACTTTTTAATGCTATTAACATAATTATTGACTTGCTCTAAAACATATGTAGTGGTTATAAAATAACAATAAAAATAATTACTAAAAATATTCTTTCATCATTTTTTTTGTTTTGTTTTTCGAGACAGGGTTTCTCTTGTAGCCCTCGAAGTCCTAGAACTCACTCTGTAGACCAGGCTGGCCTTGAACTCACAGAGATTTACCTGCCTCTGCCTCCCGAATGCTGGGATTAAAGGTGTGCCCTACCATTGCCTGCTTTGACCCCTACTTTTTAGTTAAAAATTAAATTATTTCATTTTATATGCATGAGCGTCTCACCTGCATTTATGTCTGTGCACTGAGCATATGTGTGGTGCCTCCACAGACTGGGAGAGGACATCAGATCCCCTGCAAGTAGAGTGACAGGCAGTTGTGAGTCACCGTGTGGGTGCTGGGAATAGAACTTTGGTCCTCTGGAAGAGCAGCCTGTGTTATTAATCTCTGACCAATCTTTCCAGCCTATATACATAGACATACACATACACATACATATGCTTGTCTTGAGTTCAAGGCCAGCCCGAGCTACAGAGTGAGTTCCAGGACAGCCAGGGCTACACAGAGAAACCCTGTTTCAAAAATTCCCCCCCAAAGGGGGTAGAGAGTTGGCTCAGTGGTTAAGAGCACTGGCTGCTCTCCCAGACATCCTTGAGTTCAGTTCCCAACAATCACATGACAACTCACAACCATCAATAAGGGGATTTGATTCCCTCTTTGGCGTGCATGAAGAGAAGACAACACTCATATACATAAAATACACAAATAAGTGAATCCTAAAAAAAGTAACACGAATTACTGAAAACTCATTGGAGCCACTTTTGTTTCTGAGAAGTTCATTATGTCAAGCGTTTTCCATTTTAGAGAATGACTTCTGATTGAATTATATGTTCTAATTGCACAAAATAGTTTGTTGTAAAAGAAGTACACAAAACAGGCTCATGGCCCTGTGAAAACATGGTCCTCAGAAAACATTTGATCTTAAGTTTTGTATTGATCTTCTTTTGCTTCTTTTAAATACAATCAAATAAGCCAGGCAGTGATGGTGTACACCTTTAATCCCAGCACTTGGGAAGCAAAGGCAGACAGATCTCTGCAAGTTCAAGGCCAGCCTGGTCTACATAGTGAGTTCTAGAACAGCCAGGGCTACATAGTAAAATGCTGTCTCGAAAAACCAACCAACCAAAACAAACAACAACAAAAATTATGGCTTAGCAGTTAAGAGCACTGGCTGCCTGTCTGGAAGACCTGATTTGGGTTCCAGCACCTACATGACAGCTCACAGACATCTGTAACTCCAGTTCCAGGGATTCGGTGCTCTCTTCTGGTTTTCACAGGCACCGGGCATGCCTGTGGTGCACAGACATGCAGGCAAAGTACCCATACACACAAAATAAAAATAAATCTCTTTTAACTACAATATATTCCTACTCCATCCCCCTAGATAAGTGGTAGCATCCGTATGTTCTTTCCCACCTTTCTTCTCCTCAGTTAGCAGTGAAGCCTGAAGATTATTTCACAGTAGTGAGTGGATGCAAACGTACTATTCTCCCTGTTTCTTTTCACAGTGCACCAGATGGCAGCAAGTAACTGTGTTGAGGATTGACGGGAAGGGGCAGGATCGTCTAGCTAATCTCAAACTGTGCATCTTCCTGCTTTAGGATTATAGGCGTACTACCATGCCCTGCACTGTAGAACTTTTTGATAGAAAAACTGTCGAGCTGTGTTTTTTGGGGCTGTGGTTGGAACCAGCCGAGCAGCCCTGGTCTGTTCCTGAGTGGGGGAGTGTGGATGAGGGAAAGGCTAGCTAAGAGAGTTAAGAGTCAGAGACACAGGATAGTGGTCAGGAGGGCAGATTCAATCCATACTGAATGCACCTCAGGTTATTCATACACCACCTTATGTATTCAACCAACAGTAAGGACAAAAAGCAGAAGACTTCTATTATCATATATAAGGCACAAGGAGTCATTACTTCCCTTAATCCTTCAGGTACTTCATAGCATGTACCACCCAGCCTTCAGGGTGAGAGTAACTCACCAGGGCCCAAGTCTATTGTTTCTCAGATAGGAGAGGTTCCTACCAAGGCCATGACATCCTGCAGCCATTAAGCTAATGTCTTAAGGACAATAGGAGTGATTTGAGCTCTCTGAACTCGTGGCAAGACGGAATGGGCTCCCATTTATGGGTCCCATCAAAAAACTGAGTTATGTGCTCTTATCTAGACAGTCTTCATTTGCTATAATCTAGTTGGTAAAATAATATTAGCGGATAATCAGAATGATCTAGTACACACCAAAATACAGAATGAGTTCTTGGGGCTAGAGAGGTGGCTCAGCAGTTAAGAGCAGTTGCTGCTCTTGCAAAGGACCTGAGTTCAGTTTCCAGCACCCACGTTGGGTGGCTCACAACCACCTGTAACTTCTGCTCCAGGAAACCCAGCGCCCTCCTCTGGCTTCTGCAGGTACCTGCATACATGGGCACATACACGCAGAGAAGAGACACGGAAATAAAAATTAAAAGCTTTTTAAAAAAGAATAAGCTCCTGTGGATTAGGAGTTGCAGGATGTGTGAAAGGAGTGCAGATTGATAATGTGCACCAGAGCTTGGGAAGCAGAGACAGGAAAACCAGGAATCTGAGGCCAGCCTTGGCCACCTGGTAAATTTGAGACTAGCCTAGATTGCATGAGACCCTGTCTCAAAGAAGAAGAGGATGAGGAGGAAAACCGGGCACAACAGTAACATATGTGCTGGGATGTTAGGATTTAATTGAATTGGATAACAAAGATCGGTAGGATTCAAATATATAGTGAAAGAGATGTTTCAGGCTTAGAGAAATGATGGGAATAAAAGCCCAGACTCTAAAAGGGAATGAGTGATTCAGGGGACTTTTAATAAACCAGTAAGTCTTGATCTGAAAGCTTGCCCGAGAGTAAGTTGGAACATGAATCCAGAGTCACTGTAAAGACATGGACTGTCCTCCTAGAAAGTTTCCAGCCATTGACATATCTATTCAAAAGCCCTTTATAGGTCCCCAGAGACAAGGTTTTGAACAAGGACAGAACATAAGACCGCTTTTCCTAGAACAAACTGCACAGTTTCAAAAGGGTGCTGGGGGAGACATGGACTTCAGTCCTGCTTGTGTTAAAAGAAATGTAGGAATTTGGAGATAGAATACATCGGACTTTCCCCCTCACTTTCAAGGCTAAGACTGAGGGAGTAGTAGGATGAGAGAGAGAGGACTGTTAAACGATGCCTAATTCCTCATCTGGGGCAGCAGTTAGTCAATTATGTCAGACTCCAGATGTGTAATAGTCTCTCTTCAACCACCAAGCAGCCGTGGACCCAGTGGCCACAGTGGGAGCCTAGCCAGGCTGACCACTTCCAACACCTACGCATCAACCCATCACTTCTCTGCCTTTTCAAACCAGGGTCTCCTGAGAACAAACCTCACAGGTGGTGAGGCATGCTCAGCTCCGTGTGCACACACCTCTCATGGGTGCTGGCAAGAGGCTCTGAGAAGGACTAGGGGATGACAGTCCTTATCTTGATCGCTTGAGGGATTCTTTTTCCGTTGAGCAGCAGGCAAGTGGAGCCCCTTTGTTTCCTGTTGTGGCTATAGTGCCCTCTAGTGCCTATGCCTGGTTCTGCGGTCAGAGTTTTTAGACCCTGGGTTTCAGAGTGTGCCACATGCTCTATTTAGCTGCTCACTGTCTGTCTGCCTTCCTCTCCCTCCTCAGGGTATTGCAGGCACAGATGTGGCTAAGGAGGCGTCAGACATCATCCTGACCGATGACAACTTCACCAGCATTGTGAAGGCAGTGATGTGGGGACGGAACGTGTACGACAGCATTTCCAAGTTCCTGCAGTTCCAGCTCACTGTCAATGTGGTAGCTGTGATCGTGGCTTTCACTGGAGCCTGTATCACTCAGGTTGGGCCGGGCTTGGATGTCAGGGATGACTTAAGGACTGAGGAGCGTGGGTAGGGAGTATAGTGTACCTACTCGGGAGTTAAGGACAGGTGTTTCCCAACACTACTTGGACAGTTAGCTATACCAGGTTTACAGACTCCACTGTAATGGTTTACTTACCATTAATTTAACATTTTTATGTGGTGATATCTTGCATGTACAAGTAAAGCCTGTCTGAAGGTCAGAAAATGGAGCTTGCAACTAGCTAACCATAGGGGCCTGGAGGAAGTGAAATGTACTTATGTGGGTTATCTTTGTCTTTTCGAAGCAAGCTTGCTAGACAGATGTTATTTTCCCCTTATAGAGCTGAGCTTGGAGTTATATAAATATGTCAAAGTCCCTGTGTACCTAGGTAACCAAATTCAAGGTCTGGTGGGTAGCAGGAGCTAAGCCACCTGAAGGGAATGGTGGCACTGGAGAGTGAGTCAGGCTGGTTTTCTGGAACAACTTGTAAGGCCTGGTTCTTTTTCCTACAGGATTCTCCATTGAAAGCAGTGCAGATGTTGTGGGTTAACCTGATCATGGACACTTTTGCTTCCCTGGCCCTGGCCACAGAGCCCCCTACGGATTCTCTGCTGAGGCGTCGCCCCTACGGGCGAAACAAGCCCCTGATCTCACGTACCATGATGAAGAACATCTTGGGCCATGCAGTGTATCAGCTCACAGTCGTCTTTTTCCTTGTCTTTGCTGGTGAGCCACAATTTGGGGAGAGGGGCAACTGCTGGGTGCTATATCTGTTAGGGACAGAGGATGGCTGAGAGGAGAATGCAGTATGGGAGACGGTGAAGGACTGACTGACGTAATAGCAGCTTCCCCCACACGTGCTGCCTGTGTATTCCCAGCACACGGCCACAGTGCGCAGCCACAGGGATATAAGTACCAGTGGGGCCAACTGACAGACAAGACCAGATATGTTGAGACCAGAAGCAACATTTAAGATATTTCATTAATGGGGCCTGGAGAAAGAGTTCTGCAATTAAAAGCACTTGTTGCTTTTACAGAGGACTCAGGATCAGACCCCAACACCTACATGGTGGTTCACAACCGTCTGTAAATTCAGTTCCAAAGGATCTGATGCCAACTCTGACCTTCAGCAACACCACACACACACACGTGACATACAGACATACATACAGACAAACACTCATACACATAAAATAAAGTACATATGCCTGAAGTAATTTCTAAATGTTTTATTTTTAAAAATAAAATGTTCTGCTGGGTGGTGGTGGCACATGCCTTTAATCCCAGCAGGTGGATCTCTGTGAGTTTGAGGCCAGCCTGGTTTACAGAGTAAGTTCCAGGACAGGCTCCAAAGCTACACAGAGAAATCCTGTCTCAAAAAATCAAAAATAAATAAAAATAAGATGTTCAATGGCTAGTGTAACTCAGAAGCTGACCAATTAGAATGAACTTTGTAATGTTCACAAGCCACCAGCATGGCTGTCCCAAACTGTTCCCTCTCAACCTGAACCCTAACTGAGGCCACAGGCATCCTCTAATACTGGCCCCTCCCCCACCAGGTGAGCGGCTGTTTGACATTGATAGCGGAAGGAAGGCGCCTCTCCACTCGCCACCCAGCCAGCACTATACCATTGTTTTCAACACCTTTGTGCTGATGCAGCTCTTCAACGAAATCAACTCCCGGAAGATCCACGGTGAGAAGAATGTCTTTGCAGGCATCTACCACAACGCCATTTTCTGCTCTGTGGTTTTAGGCACATTCTTCTGCCAGGTGAGATTCTATCTGGAGTTGGGGTCGGAGGGCTGGGGGATGGAGGGCAGAAGCTGGGAGCCAGGATGAGGAGAGAGGGAGTCCTGGGGACCAAGGCTGTGAGTAAACACTTTGGGTTTCCCGGTTTGCTTCCATGTGCACCTTGTTCTAGAACTGGGCCCAGTCAGGTGCTCCAGGGCAAGGTAGCATGGTACCTACAAATTTGACTTGTAGAATACTTTCATGATCTTTCCAAATGTGCAGAGAAGTTCCACACAGTGACTAAGAAGAGGGCCACTTGCTTCTGCCTCCTTCCCATGCCAGCACATATGGAATGTGTATGTACTGGTAGCGCAGGCTCCTCGCCCCCAAGCCCTTCCCCATCCCTGCCCTTCAGTTCTGAATGGACTTATGCTTGAGAATGTTGCACAGTTCACGGAGAAGAGTGATGGATTGGTGCACACGCTGAGCTCCTGTTGCTAGGAACTAGGGCCAAGAGCACAGTTGCCTGGTGGTGAAAAGATGAGTTCCTCCCTTGTTGTTGTAGTCAGAGGGTTGCCAAGGCATGTGACTACAAAGGATTATAAGCAGGCCACAGCACAAAAGACCATCTTCTGGAGCTGGAGACGTGGCTCAGCAGTAAGAGAGACCAGTGTTTGAATTCCAGCTCCCACATCATTTGACTCATCATCATTCATAACTCAGCTCTTCTGGCTTCTGTGGCTCATGGATGAGAGCAGAGACCCCCACACAGACACATGTGCAGATATACACACAGACACACACATGCACACACGATTTTAAAAATAAACCTTAGAAACAAGCTGGCTTTTTCCCAGCAGAACCCCTCCCTCCAGCCCCATCCGCCACCCCCATTCCTAGCTCTGCTCCTCTTCTGCTGTCCCTTCCCTCTGGCACCTTTTGGCCTCAGTCAGTCACAGGAAGCCTCCAACTTCCTCTGCTGCATATTAATACCGTCACAATAGTCACAGTGGCTGCATGATTCCCATTGAAGTGCTCTATAAAGATTGTATCTGTCACCTTTCTTCACTTCTAGAGTCTTTTCTGTTCCAGAAGAGAATCAGGACTTGCCCCACTCTGGCCCTGCAGGGGGCGCTGTGGCATTGACCACCCTGTCAGTCCTGGTGGGTGGAAGGCCGACTCTGGAGATGCTTCCATCATGGCGGGCTGCCCTTTGCTCTGTTTCAGATTTTCATCGTGGAGTTCGGGGGTAAGCCCTTCAGCTGTACAAGCCTCACCCTGGAGCAGTGGTTGTGGTGTGTTTTCATAGGGATTGGAGAACTTTTGTGGGGCCAGGTGAGTGTGGGGTGCCCTCTGCAGATCCTCAAGGCTGTAGACCGTTCCTCTCACAATGAGAGGGACAAGTGGCTACAGATACCAGTGTCTCATCCCGTCTTACCTCCCGTCCCCTTCCCTCCATCACGGCTTCAGGCTCCTTCCGACTTGGGGTGCGGGGGGACCACTGCCTTCACTTCAGGGGGTTATGTTCTCTGCAAAAACTTAGCTTTTTTTTTGAAACAGAAATAGAAATTTTCCATTAAAAGTTGAAGAGTTCGGAGTCGATATCACTCTGATGAAGCAACGGTCTAGCCAGGGCTATTGCGATGCTGTAGTTCAGGGTTCCCTGCCTCTTCGGTGTGGTGTCACCGTGGCTTTCTCTGGTTGAATGCCCAGCTCCTACCTAAGATAAATCAGTACTGCACATGCGCAACAGAGGGGGAGTGACACAGATCAGCACAGCCTCTGGAATTTACTGGAAGGGCCTGAACCACCCTTCTCCTTTTCACAAGCTGAGTAGCCATGGGCACGTTACCTAACCACTCCATTTATTGGGGGTCTCAACATAGGATAACAGAATCATCACTAATTGTCACTAAACAAAAAATACGACAGTACCTATTATAAGTACTTAGTGGGTGTCAGTATTAATTACAAGAATGTCAGCTTAGCTAAGAGTTTCATCCTTCCCTTAATACCATCCTTTATTCTGGCCTGGGCGATTCTTTGCAGCTCTCAAGTCTCAGCTGAGAACGCTTTAGTGCCCCTTCACAAGATAAAGATGGGATTAAGGAAGGAGGGACTCTTAGCTAATTGTCTTCCTATTCCTTTCCCAGCCCTCAACTCCCTAAGTACAAGTGCCCTTCTCCTCCTCCTCCTCCTCCTCCTCCTCTTCCTCCTCCTCCTCCCAGTGTGGTTTGCCCCAGCCCTACTTCCTCCCCCTGTGTGCCAGCTCGGCAGTTTGTGTTGTCTCAAAAGACAAGGATCCCACTGGGAAGGAAGAACCAAACGGAGACAGAGTGAGTGTAGGAAGGCCCATGCTGAGAGATGATGGGAATTGAGTTCCCTTCTGTGTGTCCGTGAACACCAGCACCTTCCTAAGAGCTGGCAGTTAGAACAACTGGCTAATCTTCTGGGCAGTTTGGTGCTTGTTGGTGCTGTCCTGGTGGGAAAGGCGTAGGCAGAGGAGCCCCCAGGACCAGGCCAGCTAACGTCTCTTCTCCAATTTGGCTGTCGCCCTCTTTGCTGCGACTGCTCTCAGGTGATCTCTGCCATTCCTACCAAGTCTCTGAAGTTCCTGAAGGAGGCTGGACATGGCGCTGACAAGGAGGAGATCACCAAGGATGCTGAGGGAATGGAAGAGATTGATCTTGCTGAGATGGAACTGCGCAGAGGCCAGATCCTCTGGTTCCGTGGCCTGAACCGGATTCAGACTCAGGTACTCTGTAGTGACTTGTCCTTACCCTGAAAGAAGAGATCTCCCCATCCTGGGTAGGGGTAGGAAAGGGGCGATTCCCAGCAGCCAGCAAGCACCCTTACCCCCATCCTAAGGCTCACTGCTCCTTAGCTTCAAGGTCAACAAGGCCAGAGGTCTCTGTGGAACTGCTCTGGGAGGTAACAGACTGGACCGTGGGTCACTATTCTGTGGTTTGCCCTACAGCCCACCCATCATGTCTGTCAGTGGAGCTGTCTTCCCACATGAGGTCTGTTCCAACACCAGTCTTGAATGCAGGAGAGGGACTGTGTAGTCCTTCCCTGGTCCCAAAGAAGGAAAAGAGACCCTATTTTTATAAAATTTGAATGAATAGTGGGCTTCCCTGAGTCACTTGGTATGGCCTTCTCGCAGCTGTTGTGATAAAAGCTGTTATCTGGGGAGGTCTTTGTTAAAGAAACTCACTGGCCTCTCTGGGAAACCTGGTGATTAAGTTGATATCTTTGGAAAGGCTCAGACTTGCTTCCTAAAGAGGAAGAGACTGTCCTTTCTCCTAACCCCTTCTTGTGATTTCTGACATGGAGTACCAGTGAGTTCCCGCTTGTAGCCCTGACAGTAACTCTTGTTTTCTCCACTTTCCTTGCATGACTACCTCTGGGTGAGTGGGCTAGCCTTAGCATTGACAGTGCTTTTCCTCTGTTCCACCCCTCAATCCTTTACTGTTTTATTCCCAAGATTCCTGAACAAACCATCAGTTCCAAGATCTCGAGGGGACTTTCTAGAGCAAAGCCTGTTTCCTACTCCTTGGCTAAAGATCCCCAAAATAATCATTTTCAAAAAACTGGCCTTCGACTGATTTAGAAAATTGTCTGACCAACACTCCCCGTTTTGGTGCACAGGGAAGATAAATGAATGCACACTCAAAACTGTGTACCCCGTCCTTCCCTGAGCAACGAGTCAGGTAGAAAAGGGGGCAAGACACAGGTGGGGAACTCTGGGCTCCTTTCCTCTCTCTGCCAGGAAGGGAATCAACCTGTGACCTGCAGATGGCCTCACGCCCCTTCCACTGAGCCCTTGGGTGACTGTAGATCTTAGCGTCTTGACTCCCGCCCCCAAGGCCCCCGCTGCTGTCCTTTGGGTCTGCTCTTTTCAAACTAATCTCTTTGCTTTTCTTCCCTTCAGGATCACCCGCCTCCTCTTCTACTGTGTGATTGTTTTATTTTTTTCCCTGGCCAGGATCCCTGCTTCCAGAGCCTCCTTGCTTCTTGCCAGTCTTCCTCTGGGGAGCTGAGATTCATGGACCTCCCCCCCACTGCCCTCCCCTACACTCCTCTGTTTGATCTCCCTGCACATGTGGCTTTAGGCATACTTCTTTCCCTGCTAGAACATAAGATAGCTGGGTCAGAATGACCTTAAAACCTCAATTTGAGATCAAGCTTGGTAGTACATGTCTATAATCTCAGCACTCAGGAAGATGAGGGTTCCTAGTTCCAGGCCAGCCTGGGCTATATAGCTAGATCTTACCTCCAAGACAAAGAAGCAAAAGCCTTAACTTGGGCTCCAAAGGCAGCCTATTAAAGACGCCATTGACGAGTCAAGGTCAGCCTGGTCTATAGAGTCCCAGGATGGGCTTCAAAGCTACACAGAAACCCTGTCTCAAAAAAAACAAATAAACAACAAATAAAAAAAACAAGCACCATTGACAAGATCCATCCATACCATTGTAATTGGCACCTGACTGGTGGTACCAAGGCAGTGTTGAGTGCACCTTCCATATCTGAGTCCTCCCACCCCCATCAACTGCTCAGCCTCAGGGTCCTAACAAAACCCCTTATTGTCGTGGCTGGAATTTCCCTTTTCCTGGTTCTAGGCAGTTCTTCCCTTTCCCTTCCCCTTTAGTTTAGGGGAGGTAAAAGCACTAGAAAGCAAATATTTGAAGAATTAAAGGGCTGAACAGTAAACATGGAGTATAATTTCATTGTGGAAGTTGGACCTTGTAACACTATAAGCACCTAGAAAACAGATTCTACCATCTCCATGGGCTGCAACCTTCCCAAGAGCTGCAACCTTCCCAAGAGCTGCAACCTTCCCAAGGGCAGCCCTCACCTACAGCCCTCAGTCCACTGAAACAGAAGAGCGCATGAATCAGAGAAGGGTGGTGTTTTAACCTTGGTCTCCACTTGGAGGTACCCCTAAAGTATTGTATGGCCTACCTGGAGGTTTGCTACACAAAAGTGGCATAGGCCTCATCTTCTGGGAATCAGTGGCAGGACAAAGACAGTGCCTTTCCTGTCCTCCTAGGCCGTTGCTAAGGGGAATCGCAAAGGATCTCAGAAGGATAAAAAAACCCCTTTCTATTTGTTCCTTATGACTTAGGGGTCAAAAAAAAGGATAATAGATTGATTAAGACCCCAGATCACAGTCACAGTGGGAAATTGATGCTATTAATTGCCTCTGTCCTTGAGGTTGAGCAAGCTGAAAGCCAGAGACCTGCTCTGTTCGGCAGGAAGACTTTGAGAGTTGTAGCTTCCAGGCACCACCAACCACTGGGGTGCCAGTTCTTAGGAAACTGGTGACCTCTCGTCAGCAGGTCTGCCAGGGCAGGTCTCCAGTTCTTACGTAATGCAATGAGTAGAATTCTAATTGGCCACCTGAACTCCACTCATGACAAACACCTCATCCAAACTAAGCAGCTCAGTCTAGCAGCCTTTCCACCATGGCCACCCATGTGTTATTTTCCTGGGAAATTTTGTAAAAATAACTGGTTGACTTAGTTGGTTTTGAGGCTCCTGAGCCTTAAATTTCACTAATATATACTTTGCTTCCAGTATGTCAGTTTATCTGCCTTATCTTTAAGAGTACAGGTCAAAATGGTGAATGAGCTACTTACTGCCTAGCTGTTAGTGGTAGGGAGACATCCTTTACATTTTAAAGGCCTTTTGACACATGTCCATCGTAGGCTACAGGGGAAAGAAACGTGAATCGCAGCTGGGGTTTGAAAATGCATAGCAAATTGTCCTTAAATGAAGTATGATGTGCAATTAACGCCCTCCCCAACCCCATCCTCACCGGCTGCTCTGGGTTTGTGGGAATATCTCTTGCTTTCCATCCCCGCCCCCCCTGCCCTCCTGATCATGCCTTCCTCTTCCTCCCTCCTCTCTGACTGTGGAGCAATGCTGTCTCACTCTCTGATTCTTTGCAGATTGAAGTAATTAACACATTCCAGACGGGAGCCTCTTTTAAGGGAGTCCTAAAGCGACAGAACATGAGCCAGCACCTTGATGTAAAACTGGTTCCTAGCTCCTATTCAACTGCAGTTGCACCAGTCAAATCTCCCCCTTCCACCTCTTCCGCTGTTACAGCTCCTCCTATGGGCAGTGAGTGAGAGTCTGTTCAATGCATGATTTGCTAAGGCGACCACAAGAGAGCATGTGACATCCACTTTAACCAGCCGTGGTTACTTATCCTTTTCATTTTTCCCCTTTGAGCTTTGGACTTAAAGAAAAGACAAAAACAAAAAACAAAAAACCTCCCCCCAACCCTGGTTAAAACCAGGCTGTATAACCTTTCATTTGATTTTTTTGTTTGTTTGTTTTTCGAGACAGGGTTTCTCTGTGGCTTTGGAGGCTGTCCTGGAACTTGCTCTGTAGACCAGGCTGGTCTCAAACTCACAGAGATCCGCCTGCCTCTGCCTCCCGATTAAAGACGTGTGCCACCAATGCCGGGCTCATTTGTTTGTTTGTTTGTTTTTTTTTAATGTTGGAAAGTTATTAAACCTTAATAACTTAAAGACAATAATGCTGTTTTCTGACTTTCCCTCTGCATTGCTGCTGCTTCTTTTCTTGAATTGTTTTGCTGTGTCTTGCCTCTCCTCCTCTTCTGAGTCTAACTTCACCTGTTTAGATATAAGGTCAGTCCCAGTGAAGACCTAGGAAGTCTCTTTACCAGGGGCGAGGGAGCCTCTAACCACGGGTTAACCAGGACCTGTCCTGATGGAGCCAATGCTGAACTTGTTCAATAATTGCAGCCTTTTTGGCTACCACTGCACTGTTAGCTGGCAACAAGATTGGAGAGGGGAAGTTAGTTCAACCTGTATTGTCTCACCTCTCAGACATGACCGTAAACAGAACTGTAGTTCAAGAACCAATTCATTCACAATGTGTAGGAGAAATGTAACTTCTCTGACCCATGTGGTGGCGTGTGTCACCCCAGCACCCCAGATTGTTGACCGCTTGCTAATGCCTTCCTGTTTCTGGTCCTGTACTGTCCCTGAATTGGGAGCAGAGGGAGGCAGTCACTATGGTGAGCGAAGGTCCTCCACCTTCACATCCTATGGACTTTAGATACTCGAGTGCCAAGTCCATCCCTCCCCACAGCCAGCCCTAGGTTGCATTGCCTGTGGTTCCCATGGCTGTGAAGCAGGTTTTCCAAGCTTGAGCTTCCTTTTGCCTTTTAGCTACCCATAACAGACCAGGTCTGAGTTGGAAATAAGGGTGTAAGTGCAGTGATATCTGCTGTTTCTTCAAGGCCCAAAGGCAGGCCTGAAGGCACTAAATAAGCCTAGTCCTGCAAAGTGCAAAGAAACCTCTCCCTCTAGTCCTTCCTCATTCCTCACTTAATCTCTTTTCTTTCTGCATTTATTCCTGCTTAGTCATTCACTTCTCTGGTAGAAAGGGCCAGTGCTGGCTGCCCCCAGAGACTTGATGGCGGAGAGAGACCAGGGAGTCCAGAGGAGCTGGTAGGCCCCATGCCCTGAGCCCCTAAAAGTTCAGACCAAAGGAGACAGACCACACCTGCTTTCTCTAGCTTGCCCATTTCAGAGCACTTAAGATTACTTCAGCTGTGTGTCGGATCTCCCTAAGGTCCCTCGGCTTCCATCCAGAAGGACGCCCTAGACTTCTCTACTCCTAGCCTATGAATAGGGAGTAGAAGAGTACAGTGTTCCCGTGGAGAAATCATCAGAGCTCCAAAGTATGCTCCACACTCACCTGAGGTTCAGCCTACTTTGGGCTTCTGCCTCATGAAGGAATTACCCTTCAATCAGCCCCTCAGGAAGCATTTCCCCGAAGTTTTAAAAAATGACGTGTGGAGAGGAAAGCTTTGGCTGGCTAAGTGAGGGATGTGCGAAGCTCCGATAGCCCTCCCTTGTTCCCACCCCAGACCCTGTGCTCCAGGCACAGAAGATGCCAGCCCTGGATCAGGTGGTGACACACTGTGTGGCTGTCCATCAGCACATGTTCTCTGAGCCAGTGTTGGAGTTGAGCATTCCCGCATAGCCCCAAGCCTCTATCGCTCACCCTTTCCCTCACCCCCTGGGCCCAGGCCCTGACTCCAAGCTTGAGCTCCCTTACAGGCAGCTGGTTCCCCATGGTCTCCAGAAGTCCTGAACTCTAACTGAATGATTGTTCTTGGCTTCCCCCAAAGGTTTCCCTTTTTTTCACCTGCTCATCCCTCTTCACTTATATCTTCTTCATTTGTTTACCCTTAAGAGTGTTATTAATTGCCCCCACAGGGGAAAGGAAAAGTCATAAAATAGGCTCAGACCCTCTGACCCTAACTTTCACAAATCGACTCCTTTTATAATGGACTTCACATAAAATTGTTGCAATCAAGTGTCCAGTTGCTTAAAAAAGAAAAAAGAAAAAACCCTAGAAGCAACAAATTTAAAAATCACTAGTCTAGAAGACAGTAAACTAGTGGCATAAAGGTACCTGCCCTCCTATATGACTCTGTGAAGATGACAATAGCAGATAAAAATACTGCTACAATACAATAGGCGGTTTTCCACCTATTCCTTGGTCATACTATTTATACCAGGGCTAAGGGAGAGGGTGTTGAGTTTGAGCTCGCTTAACCTAACTTGTCTTGCTCAAATATTTCAAGTATAGATTACAGAAAACTTGGGACCACACAGAGGTTAGAGGTAGGCTCCACTCTGCCTGTTCTCGCACAGATCTGAGCAGGGCAACCAGACTGGTGAAATTCGCCAGCAGATGGTGAGCAGAACCACAGAATAGAAAGTGGACCCTCACTGTCACTCCACCAGGTCCCTGACGCCTTTACATTTTGTAGACAGTTGGACTGACTGTTCAGTGGCAGAGTCCCTTGCCTTCTAAGCTCTGATGGTGAGGCTGCTGTAGGCAACATCTTTGCAGGATCTTAAAATGAGAAGTCCTAGGACAGAAAACCCAGCTGGTTTATTTGCCTGTTTGTGTGTGCTCCACGATTTTTTTTTTTTTTTTTTTTTTTGGTCTTTGGAGACAGGGTTTCTCTGTATTGCTTTGGAAGTTGTCCTGGAACTCACTCTGTAGACCAGGCTGGCCTCGAACTCACAGAGGTCCGCCTGCCTCTGCCTCCTGAGTACTTGGATTAAAGGCGTGAGCCACCAACGCCCGGCATGCTCCACGATCTTGCTTCTTCTCCAGGGATATATATTTTTTTATTTAAACAGCAGAAGACTAAAAGAGACACTGTTAACCCACCACCCATTACTCCTTAACCTTCTCCCAACCTTAACAATTTGTGCATCCCCCTCGTTTCTTTTCTGAGGGAGACTGTATCTGAACCAGAGTAGAACTGACCACTTCCCCCAACAACAAAAAACAATCCTATAACCATCTGACTTTCCTGGTCTCCCTTCTCAGTTCCCTCTGGCACACAACTCCCCCCACACACTGAACCCCGAACTACCAGCCCAGATTCTAAGCCACACTTGAGTAACACAGTTCAGAAATGTAAAATTAGCAAAGCAAAACAACAGCAAAAACAGCAAATAAGTTGATGCCCTGATTACGCAAAAGCTTCTCCAGAGATTTATTGCAATTGGTCTTCTCTGGACTCCTGACAGCTTGAGTCCCTTCTTCTATGTAGTAAAATGAAGATTGACAGGGCAATATGTTTGCCCGTTTACCCAGGGACACTGCAAAGTGTCTCCTTTCTTCATTCTTTTCAACTGTCCTGTCAGAGAAGTCAGTTATTGGTAGCCGGCTTCCTGGATCAAGTTTCTCTCCTGGTCCTCCGCTTCTTCACACAAGGTCATATTCTCTGCCCAATATGCACATGGCTGGGCAAACAGCATGAATTTACTTGTTGGGTTTGGGCAACATGGCTGTGGATCAGACATGGATGTACACTTGAATGGTGAACCCCGGACCTTCTTCAGTAGGCAGGGCAAGGCTTCTTTTGACACCCTGTGTTGTATCTGCGTCTTCTAGGAGAGGGTATGGAGAGGAGGAGCTCTGCTTTTGAGGGGTAGGAGACACAGTTGAGGTTGTGGGGTTACAAACATGTGCATGTCTTCTGACTGAACAGTTAGGGACTTTTAATTTCCTGCATGCTGTGGAATGAAGATTGATTTGTCTGCCTGGCTGCACAGTACCCACGGTCACTTGTCACCCAGTGTTTATTGTGTGCAGATTGGTGAATGTTGGCTCTTTGATGGGGCTTAACAGATAACAAAGCCACAGTGTGCAATTCTCCCCTCCCACACTCACAAAAGGTTTGGCTTCAACACAGAAAGCCACCTGTGTGGATTGTCTTTTAAGTTTGCCCATTAATGTAACCTAGTTCTGACACACTGGCCTCTATCAAAAAGAACTAATGAGTCTCTTGGTTTGATTTCATTTTCAGAGTGGATTGTTTGGGAATGCTAAATTTGCTTTGTGCTACCTTTTTGAATGCACCCTTTGAAATGCCCTACTGTCTGCCTCACTCACTCACACCTTGTGCTTGAGATTTGAGGCCTGTGGTGGTTTGGGTTGTTGAGCCATTGTGTTTCATAGTTGGGGTTTTGTTTCTTTCCTTAAACCACTCATTTTTCTTGTTCTGCTTGCCAGTTCTCACCTCCCTGTCTTCTCATCCTCTTTCTCGTTCCCCTGGTATAGATCAAAGTGGTCAGAGTGTTCCATAATTTCCATCAAGTCGTTCATAAACCCAGGAACCAACTCTCCATCCACCACTTCATGACCCAGCCTGGATACAATGCAGATGATGAGTTTCCACAGTCATTCCAGGATGATCAAGAGGGAGATCCTGAATCGGCTCCTAAGGCGGAGACTAGGGTGCCTCTGTTAGATGGTGAGGCCACTCCATATGACAACAAAAACAACAGTGCCGTGGATTGCAACCAAGTGCAAATCGTTGCCTCCCATTCCGACAGCCCTCTGCAAAGCCTGGAGACATCAGTTTGAACTCCCATTCTCTGATTCCCGTCCCTGCGTTCCCTAATTCTTTTATCATTTATCCCGTCTATAAAGTGATGATGGGACTTGTCACTGTTATGTCAGCCGTTCCTAAGTGTGTGAGAACCCCCACCTGGCCATGAAGAAACAAGAACACAGACTACAAGGATTCGGTCAAACCCTGATCTGCTCCTTAGGTATACCAGTTCTCATTTTTAAAGAAATGATGACAATCCTCCTGGCATCACCCAACCCAGAGTCTCCACAGCATTCCCACATGTGTCACCACTTCCTGACTTGGAGACTTCAGGAGTTTCTGCCATTTACAAGCTAAGTTGTGGGCTCAGGGAGAGACAAATGCCCTGTGTTTGTGTTTCAGTAGACTGGTAATTCTTAGAACATATTTTCCTATTTTGAAAATGCATATCCTAAGGCCGCTAGCTCTCCCTGCCCTTCAGTCTGACCTCCCCAGGGTTCTTTGGTTCTTATATGACCCTTATCATCCTTCCTCTTACTTTTTTTTTAAGTTGTGGTAATTAAGAGAATGGAAAGGACATGTACAAGTTGAGTCGACTTTGGCCCCTTCTGGCCCCAATAGAACCTTTCATTTTGTTCTAGAGGCAGGCTAAAATGGTCTTTTTGAAGCAAATGAACTGATGAAATATTTCCCTATTCTCATCAGGTCAGCTCCAACTTCTGAATGTCCATCTGTCTTCTTGGGTGTGTCAGGGTTTTTAAGTGCCAGGGAAATCAGCCATGACCATGACGCTTGCATATGTATAATGTATAGTTTTTACCATAGGCCTGAGCTTCCTCCTTGCCTAAGGTGGTAGCAAAAGAATCAATGGGACATGACCCTGTCTCCTAGCTGGATGAGAAGTTTCAGGACCAACCTGGAGCAGGCCTAGGACCAGAAATCACTGAAGCAGACTATTTTCAAGGGTATTTGCCAAGGCTCTCCCAGGGCAGGAGCTGACTGTTGGGGGAATGAGTATCAAGAAGCCTTGGGAAGGGCTAAAGAACCAATCCACCGGATCTGAGGAACCTCCCCACAGGTTGGGCGCCTGAGTACCAGCTTTGACATTCTCTTCACTTTACTAATTCTATGCTTTGTTGTGCCCCATATTTTCCACCTCAAAGGAGGTCCCCAACTTTTGAAAATATTCCATTGTTGAAAATACACATCCAAAAGAGGAGGTTTCCTGACAGTGTTCTGTCAAGGAGCAAAGGGCCCTTCCCGGAAAGCTCCTGCCTCCTCTCTCCTCGCTTTCATACCCCCTCCTCCAGCCTTCAGCATTGAGCATCTCCACTGCTACCCAGGAAAGCCCGTGCCTTTTCACCCGGACACATCCTCTGCCCACCCACCTCTCAGGAGCTGGGAATGTCACCAAAAGGGACTTCGCCTTACTGGGACAAGCTGGAGGCACATTCCCAGGTGCTCCATCTGTATCCCTACTTTGCTGATCTAATCTTGTTTGTGCAGGTGGACCAAATTTATGTCCCCAAGTCCCATCTCCTGTTACGTCAGTGAAGCCTGCCTCCCACTCTCCATGGTGATGGGAATAGAAAAGGATGCATGAGGCTCATGAGAACTGCCAGGTTTCCACGTGGGAGGGAAAGGCAAGATGAACTTGTCTACTCCTAGCCTTTCTTCTAGAGATCTTCCTCCCTCCCCACTTTTCACCCAGGCTGCCAAGGTAGGGTGAGTGTAGAAACAACCACCATTCTACACTCAATACAGCATAATCCATCGTTATAGGAGACAGGGAGAAGGCTTTCACTTGGGTTTTGTAAAGCTTACACACTTCAGCAGTCTTTCCTCATGGAAAAAAAACAGCTCACTTGAGTTGTTAATTACACACACACACACATGCACACACACACATACACACATGTTTAGTACATTAGAAGATTTGAATTTGTCAACTGTTTTATTACCTCAGATCATTTTTTAAAAGCAAGCCAATAACAAGCTCCGAAGGCCATTTTACCATCCTTGCTCCTAAGAGACTTTTGTGGTGCCTGGCAGGTCTCTCTCGAGGGCTTTATGTCTACTTTTTCAAAGTCAATAGTTGTTGTGTATGTGTGTGTATGTTTGAGTGTGTTTGAGTGTGTGTGCGCGCATGTTCTAGTTTCCGTAGTGAGAGAGAAAAATATAGAAATATTATGCAAAAATAGTTTTCTTTAGATCAGAAACTAATATTTTTGAGTCAGCCATATATATATTTAAAGAATTTCAAATAAAGTGCCATCATGAAGCACCATAGAGGGGAGCACACACCCAGCTGTTTGACATGACAAGTGGCTCAGTATATTTGCAGTTGGTTAAAAAAAATATACCATACTTCCTTTCTCCAAACAGCCATCTTTATATTTAGGGGGAAAATGTTGGTTATAGACTTTTTTAATTATAAATTTTGTTGATATGGAATTGAGTAAGTTCAAGTATTTCTGTGCATATGTTTTTATATGTTTTTTCTATTCAGTTTCAGTGATCCAGGTGGCAGTGAGTACCTATGACAGAAGTTAATAATAGTTTCCCCTAAATGGTGCTTTGGATTTGAAAGAGGTCTGGTGGGGAGAAAGAGAACATATTCTAGAGCTGTCTTTTGATAAACCTAGAAAAACGGGTAAGAACCTGCAGGTAGTGAGGGAACCACTGGAAGAGGCTTCTCGACTGTCAGGACATGGATGTGTGCTGCCATGGAGGAGTGCCAGGCTTGTTGGTAACCAGGGGTGAGGGCCAGTTGGACTTCTGTTTCGAAGGAGTTCGCTGGCAGAGTGTTGTCAGTGACAGTCTCTCCTGGTCAGCAAGGGAACTCTGACGTGGGGCTTGCATTTCTTTATGCTTCCTGCACTCCCTTTTTCCCCTAGAGTGATCCCATTAGTGAGTTTTTGTGCATGAATCTGAGTTGAGACACCTTCCTATTTTGTATAATACAGCAGATGGGAGACTGAGCTCCAAATTGGAAAAGACAAATACAGCAATGGCTGCTTCTAGCTCTGTCTGGCAGTCTGAGGACTAGGTCCTTCTCAACAGCCCTTCACTGTCCTTTAAAGTGCTTCTCCCATCCCAAAAGATGTAAGAGAGACCAGCTAGACTCCCTCTGGGCACACGTGAATTCCTCAGGTTTGGAATTCTGTTTTCCTTCAAGCTTTAGGGGAGAGTTACACAGGTCAATCAGAGTGATTACCTCACTGCCGAAAATCCAGAGGAGCATGCAAGCTTGAATATGCCTGGATCCTCTCCTGTATCCTTCCCTTTCTCCCCATCCCTCGCCTTACCCTTACTGTGGTACCATTGCAGTCCGCACATTCAGCCACCTTCTACGTCTGGGGTCTACCCATGGCACCAGTGGGGGTGGGCAGTTACAATGCCTGCTGTCCTGAAGCCATCCCAGCCTCCTCCTCAGTAGACCAGACACCCTCCCTCCTCTCCATTCAGCTCAGAGCCAGAACGTTTGCCTTCCCAGCTCTGCAGTTAGGTCTGCTATCCCCTTTCTTCTTCTTGGGGGAGGCAAAGGGAGGTGAGCTCCCTGCAACTGAATCGGCCTTTGGTTTGTGTTTTCTCCCCATGTGTATATATGCCATATGTAAATATGCCATATATATGTGCCAACAAATGGATCTATGCCATCTTTTCTAATCGGCATGCAGATAGGAATTTTGAGTTTCTTCTCAGTAACTAGTATAATGAGCACTGGTATTTTTGTACAAAAGGAAAAAAAAAACAGAAAATTGACTGTTGTAGTCTGCATGACAGACATGATGATAGCAAAGCAATGTATATCTTAGCGTGTGTTGCCATAGTTTGCAGTTCATCTTAACAGTGCACCCAATCTGTATTTGCATTTATATTATTTAAGCTCTATGTATAATGTTTTGCATGTATTTATATGGTTCTTGGGGGGGATGCTATAAACTGACAAATGTGTAATGCAACTGTATCGTCTCACTGACACGGGAAGAGGAGTTTTAAAAGGGTTAATTTTTTTGAACCAATAAAGCTTTTTGCTGATGAGAAGAAACTAATGTCATGCACTGAGAATAAAAACCCATGCCCACTTGTTAATGTTCTGTCTTCCATGTGTCTCCACTTTTGGGTCTCACCCCTGGACCTGTGGGGGCTGAGGAGCAAACACAGGGCCCAAGCTTGTCCCTTCCTGTGACATGCTTCCTTCAGGGCCCACAGCCCTGGGGACCAGCCTCTTGCCTTGAAGAACTAGTTTTTCTGTACACTCCACAGTTGGAGTTGGGTAGAGCTTGCTATCCAGGTCCTGGAAAGCTGGGTCCCTGGGAAGGATAAGCAAGAGGACACCTCCCCCACTCCCTGTTCCCTCCTCCTCCTCACCTTCCATCCTCCTTTTCTTAAAATGCCTTTCGACAAGGTTAGTCCCCATTATAGTAACTGCTTTTCCTACAGACATTCTCCACTACTTCTTCCCATAGCTGTTTTGTTTTTAATGTTCCATTCATTACATTTGAGCATCATGGCTGGTATCCGTCTCCAATTTCTGATCAGAGAAGATAAGTCATTTACCTTCTGGACCGTCATATCTCTCAGATGACTCCTTGTAGCTCACAGTCAGATGTACAACAAAGTTCTCTGTTCCCTTTTAAGTCACCCCCTTTAGAAAAGAACCCTGTCTCTTGCCCAGGATTCCTTAAGAAAAGTATGTTGGTGAAAGTCAGCCAGGTGGTCTCTCTGAAGGTGCTGGTTCAAAAGCAGGGACCGGCCTGGATGGAAAAAACTCTTTCAGGCTACATCTTTAAAGACAATTTTTTGACGTGTATGAGTTTTGCCTGCATGTATGTCTGTGTTTCTCATGCCTGGTGCCCAAGGAGGTCAGAAGATGTCTTTGGCTACCCTGGAACTAGACTCAGGATGTTTGGGAGCCTCCATGTGTGTGCTGGGAGCAGCAAGTGCTCTTAACCACTGAGCCATCTCTCCAGCCCTCAGCCTAGGGATTATTCCCAGCTTTCTTGCCAGTCCCAGATTGCTCTCCATAGGCATGGACACACTGACCGCTTGGTTTCTTTAAAATGGAGGCTGGGAAGTAACTAATTTAAATAAATTTAAACTTTGAAGGAGTTAGGGCCTTATTGATAACAGAAGCCATAAAACAGTCATAGTAGCACTTGCTTTTTCCCCATTGTAAGTGCCCTTCTAATGCACTTTCTAGAAAGGATGTCCACACATACCCCTAGTCCCATGCCCCACACACACCTGTAAGATCCTTTCTGAAGCATGACCCCATATTTCTCCTTTTATTCTCCTATCTTATCCTCATTGGGCCTCTATCTTCTCTGTTAATACATCAGATTTTTATTGGTGGTGGTGGGTTTTTGTTGTTGTTTGAGACAGGTTCTCTCTGTCCTAAAATTAGCTCTGTAGACCAGACTGGCCTCAAACTCACGCCACCACTGGCCGTCTAAGAATTAGATCTTAAAAGTACAACCAACTAATCCAGCATGTGGTAGGGAATGCTGTCTGACTAAGATTGCTATATCTTAAGACATTGGTTCAATGGGATGTAAAGGCCAGTTGGGTCCCTTGGGCCCAAGTGAACATGAAAAAGAGCATGCTCAACTGAGTGGTGGTGGCGGCACTTGCCTTTAATCCCAGCACTCAGGAGGCAGAGGCAGGCAGATCTCTGTGAGTTCAAGGCCAGCCTGGTCTACAGAGTGAGTTGCAGGATGGGCAGGGGTATGTAGAGAGCCCTGTCTCAAATAAATAACAACAACAAAATGATGGAGGATGTCCTTTTGTATGCTGTGAATATATGTTTCTCTTATTGGTTGATGAATAAAGCTGTTTTGGCCAATGGACAGGCAGGATGTAGCCAGGCAGGAAGTATTGGCAGGGCTACCAGACTAGGAGAAGTCTAGGAAGAGGAACGCAGAGAGTGAGTCACAAGGGAGCAAGAGGGCCGGCATCACCAGTAAGCCAAGACAACGTGGAGATACACAGATTAATAGAAATGGGTTAATAATTAAGAGAGAGCCAATAAGAAGCCTTAGCCATTGGCCAAACAGTTTACAATTAATATAAACCTCTGTGTGTTTATTTGGGACTAGATGTTTACAACAAAAAGAAAGAGCCTGATATGTGTGTAGAGCAGAAAATGTTCATCTTGGAAACTGGTGCTTTCTGGCTCTGACTCCTAGCTTGTCTTCTCTCATGAGACTGTTTTCAGCAATACCTCCCTGGGGTAGCTCCATTCCCCACCCTGAAAACACGAGATGCTCCTTGAAATAATGACCTCACTGCCATCTCCAAAAAGACCATGCCACACACACAACGGGCCACCTCTAAGAGAAAGATGTCTCACACATACAGTGTGCCATCTCTACACTTAAACTAAGGAGTTAATAATTTGTGTGTTTGAGAAGTCAAAAAACAACCAGAAATTAAGCTTTTTGCTTTATCTATTTTGCTTTGTTTTCTGAGACACGGTTTCTTTGTGCAACCCTAGCTATTCTGGAACTCTCTGTGGACCAAGCTGACCCTGAACTCACAAAGATCCACCTGCCTCTACCTCCCAAGTGCTGGGATTAAAGGTGTGCATCATCACCGCCAGACTGAAATTAAGCAACTTTTCATGACATTTAAGAAAAGCAAATACTTGAACTGTCTGCATGGCTCAGTGGTTCTCAACTTTCCTAATTCTATGACCTTTTAATACAATTCCTCATGTTGAGGTAACTCCCAACCATAAAATGATTTTCATTGCCAGTTCATAACTGTAATTTTGCTACTGTGAGGAATCATAATGTAAATATCTGATATTTCTGATGGTCTTAAGCAACACCTATAACCCCCAAAGGATTTGTAACCCAACAGGTTGAGAAGCTCTGGCATTGCTGGTGCCTCCACACTCCGAGGGATCTATCTGTCTCTTACTCCACAGCAGATCTAGGCCCTGTGTACAAACTCAGCTACTACTTAGTTTTCTCCATGTCCCTACAACAGAAAACCATCTCCCTTTGCACAGACTTCTTCCCAACACAGCACAAGTGGTTAGGTTGGTTCAACTACTGTGTTAGGACTACTGCTCTAGAAGTGACTTGTTCTAAATTGCAGGTGTTCACACTAGGACTATTTAAATTTTTGATTATGATATTGATTACAGAGATCCCTCTGTCTCTCTGTCCCTCTCTGTCTCTCTATCAACAAGTGCTGTACTACAGAGCTACATGCTCAGTCCTTTAGACCCAGGGATGTCCTTTAGTCCTTTAGCTCAGTTTGTTAAGGGCTTGACTGGTCCCCTCCACCATATAAACTGATACAGTAGTGCATGCTTGTAATCCCAGTACTTAGGGAGAGGCAGGGGAATCAGAAGTTCAAGGTCATTCTCAGCTACCATAGTAAGGTTTGATGCTTAGAATACATAAGATACTATTTCACAAAAACAACTATATGAAGACTTACTTGAAAGAGAGAACTAGTATACTAGTTACTTTTCTATTGCTGTGAAGAGACATCATGGCCAAGACAACTCATAAATAAAAGCATTTAATCTGGGCTTCGTGGTTCCAGATACTTAGAGTTCATGAGTCCATGATCACAGCAGGGAGCATGTCAGCAGGAGGCAAGCAAGTGTGACATGGAGCAGTAGCTGAGAGTTTACATCTTTTTTTTTTTTTTTTTTCCGAGACAGGGTTTCTCTGTGGCTTTGGAGGCTGTCCTGGAACTAGCTCTTGTAGACCAGGCTGTCCTCAAACTCACAGAGATCCGATTGCCTCTGCCTCCCAAGTGCTGGGATTAAAGGCATGCGCCTCCATGAAGCAGAGAGAGTGCTAACTGGGAATGGCACAAGTTTTTGGAAACCTCAAGCCTCCCAGTGACACACCTCCTCCACCAAGGCCTTATCTCCTAACCCTTCCCAAACAGTTAGACCAACTGGGGACCAAGCATCCAGACATGAACTTATGGGGGCCATTGTCATTCAGACCACATGAATTTATGGGGGCCATTCTCATTCAGACCACATGGCTGGGGAGGAAGAGCAAAAAACGTGCAGTTGCCTTCATGCCTAAGAGAAAGAACAGAAACCTCTCTGGTCATCTCTCTATTTGGAGACTAGCGACATGGCTCAGCAGTCAAGAGTGCTTGCTACTCTTACAGAAGACCCGGGTTCAGTTCCCAGCACCCACATCAGGCAGCTCACAACCACCAATAACCAGTTCATGAACTCACACAGACATATGCACTGAACTAGCTTATCCAGAAGTGATGCTACAACGATAAACGGCACACTTACTGAAAGTAAAAATAAGTATTTATTGTAGAAATTACTCACAAGAGACCAAACAAGTAACCCAGATGAGCCGAGTAGTTTTCCACCGCCGAACTGGAAGCCAAAAGCCGGAAAAAGAGACCGAGACTTCCGTTGTTCAGTCTTTTATACCTTCCTCTGTAACGCCCCTAGCCATGCCCAAAAGTGGGCCTGGCTAGTGACGTAGTTCACCGCCTAGGTCCGTATTTAGTCTTTAGTCATGCCTAAAGTGGGTGTGTTTAGCAGCGTGGTAAACTGCCCATTATTACCTCATCTGTATGCGCACACGGTTTCCTCCTACACAGACAGTCTCTACCAGCTCTAAAATTCGGATGCTAACTTAACAACAATGAAAGTTAAACAGAGGTCTGAGGAGTTGGTAAAGTGCTTGCCATGGAAGCAAAAGGGCCTGAGTTCCATCCCCAGAATTCATGTGAAAAAGCCAGGCTTAGTGATGCGTTCTTGTAATCCCAGATAAGACGGGCAGAACACAAGGACGTGCCAGAGACCCTCTCTCAAAATGAGAACACCATCCAAGAGTGACCTCTGACCTGCACAGATCCATGTGCACATAGGATTGCGCACGCGAGCACTCACGCATGCACACACACACACACACACATACACACACCACACAGCTGTGTGTGTACATATACAACAATACATGTTTGAAGACACAAGCCTAATTTTGGGCACCTCAAGTATCCCCCTCTTTTTTAAACAAACGTATGCACAAATAAAATCTAATAAAACTTAGTGATTGGAGCACAGACTGTTGATAGTATTATCTAGC